TTATTCTGGGAAGCAGACTTTTGAAAAACCATGCAATATCAAAAATTAAAACAATTAAGCCAATGCATTATCATACTGTCTGGGTCTGAGTTTTGTCTTCATCATTGACTTTAGTGTGGCCTTGGGCACATATATTTCTCTGAGGCCCAGCTTCTCATTTGCTTACTAGGTGGGGACCTTAATTTTGATACACTGTATAAAGCCTGTGAAGGGTCCTACACACAGGACTAGAACCAAGGAACAGCCAAAATAGATTTACATGCTTTTAGTCATGTTTTCAAAGCACAGATTTTGGAGTTACACAGTTGCCAGTCTGTTATATTTCCCACTAGCTTTATTGACAAGGCCTTGAGCTTGTAGGTTAACATGGTAATGATTACCTGCATGGCTTTTCAGAGACGTGGCTGTTTTTGCAGAAAGCACCAATTCTCCCACTGGGCCTGTAAAAGTGCCTGATGGGTGATGAGAACAGAATGAAGGGCTGGATCTGCCTTTCTGCTGTGTCTCCCCTTTGCAGATTTAACCTTTGGGTCAGGTGGGCTTGCTCGAAACTTGCCTGACCTCTTTCCTTCCCTCATGCCAAGATATAAGTCACCAAGGCAATATCCCCTTCTAGGTCACTGTAGTATCATCTAGGAATCTCCCAGTCCTGTCCATGACCTCCTCCTCCTCCTCCTCCTCCTCCTCCTCCTCCTCTGTACCCCACCCCCACCCACCCACCCACAAAGCCTGTGCACAGAGCTGACATTCCAAGACAATCATCTTCAGCAATGGCCTCTCAGATTTTGTAAGCTTTCCCAGTACACCTTTTTTCTTGACCCAACAGTTTGCCCTCAAGTCACTGGCCTTTTCAAGTGATCAATAAAGAGTAGCAGGCTGTGCTTACAAACAGTTACATTAGACTGTAATGTCACTCCGGCAGGTCTCACTTACCTTATTCCTCCTGACATCGCCTTCAGTGCTAACTGAGTAGAGGAGATGTCCTCCAGAGGGTTTAACCCATGCTAGAGGAAGAACTGTCTCTGCCGACCTCCTGACACTGATGTCTGGATTATTGAAGGGACACACTGAAAATCTGGTTCCCAATTATCTGGCAGGCATCCAGAGTGGATCTCTGCTATGCCAGTACTGCCTGTGGTACCTAGATTCCCTCAACAAGGTGCCTACATCATTGCTGGCCCTGGGCTCCAGTGCTGCTGTGGTTGAGTATGGTTTCCCCAACAGAGTGGGCAGAAACAGACCATACACAGAACATAGAAGGGAGGTCCAGTAGCAAAATGCTGTGGGCTGCTTCCAAGCATTGTTAGTAGTGCATGTTCCTAGTTACTATGGAAACTGAAAAAGAGTATCTGTGAGAGCCTATATTATCTGTCAAGGAGTTGCCATATCAAAATGAATAAAGAAATTGAGCTGGGCAGTGGTGCACACGCCTTTAATCCCAGCACTCAGGAGGTAGAGGCAGGCGGATCTCTGTGAGTTTGAGGCCAGCCTGGTCTACGGAGCTAGTTCCAGGATAGCCGGGGATGTTACACAGAGAAACCCTGTCTTGAAAAACAAAAACAAGAAAAAGAAAAAGAAAGAAAGAAAAGAAAAGAAATAATTGTCCAAAGGCAAAGAATTTTTCAGGCTCCTTCACAAACCTCTTTTTATGATGAAATGTTCTCAAACTAACAAAATTAGTCAAAATGGAAAACAAAACTATAATAACAATACCATATTAGTTGTCCTAAGTTGACAACTTGAATGTCATATTGTTAAAGAAATAAATCATGGCTGAGAATATTACTTTATAGTAGAATATATGGTTAGCATGTGAGGAATCCTGGTTTTAGTCCCAGCTTACAAAAAGAGAGAGAGAGAGAGAGAGAGAGAGAGAAGGAAGGGGGTGGGAGGAAGGGGAAAAACACAACTAGACAGCATCGCAGCTTAGCTTGAATAATCCTCTCATGTGTGCAGTGCATCACTGACCAATGGTGTCTGCTCCAACAAGCTCTGAGCAGTGCAGCCGGGCTCTGGGGGTGGCTGACGTGGTTCCTTTCTCCAGGAGCATGGACCAGTAAAGGGGGACTCGGCACAGAGATGATAGGCGCATCCCAGGTGCAACTGGAGGCTAGATGAAGGCCTAGTTCATTCCAAATACAATACAGAAATGCCAAATACAATATAGGCAATATAGAAAACTCCAGGGGCTGGAGAGATGGCTCGTGGTTAAGAACATATATTGCTCTTCCGAAGGACCTGAGTTCAGTTCCCAGCACCCACTGGACTGCCTAAGGAGACCTCAGACATGAGTGGCCCATGCGGTCACAGCCATTTCTTTTGCTGCTGTTGGCACTCAACCTGTGCACCCCTGAACTCCTGCATCCCCTGCATCCCCTGCACCCCTGCATCCCCTGTATCCCCTGCACCTACTTTGCTACTGAGACGCTTCCTAGGTTCCTTTTCCTTTCTGGTCAGCCTCTTTCTCATAACCCATCACCTTTGAGGTCTCCATGACACAACTTGCTGTTTCTCCTTTTGAGACTGTAAGGCCCATTCTTCCCCAGCAGACATTTCCTCCAAAGCAGCTGACTCGACCGCTCTGCTGGGGTGGATTTCTGACCCAAGGAACACAGCTGGATTGTTTAAAAGCCTGTCCAGGTTCTTCAGTTTTATGCCCTAGTCACGTGTGCAAACTGTGAAACTGGAGTAAACTCACTGGTGGAACAGCTCCACGGAGAAGCCTGCCATACGAACCTGATGACCGAGTTCCACCCAGAGCCCGTGTTAAATACACTGCCTTTGAAAATGCAAAAGCCTGTAAGATAGTCTTAATCCTTCCACAGTCACACCAGCGGAAGGCCTGACAGCTGGACTTCCTGCGAGGATGTGAATGAATGTGTGTCAGAGGGCTTTACATATATTATCTCTGATTAGTCTGGACAGAACCCCGTATGTTGATTACTGTTCCCATTTCATAAAGGAACAAACAGAGGCTCAGCAAAGATTAGTGGCCTGCCTGAGGAGAGCCTGTGGTTTACTGATGCCTCGGGAAAATGCGGATGAGAGTGAAGGTCATCCTTGCCCCAGGAGAATGGGGGTGGCGGTCCTGAAGGATGGTGGCGGACAGAGATAAGAACAGCAGCAGCCTGCCCGGGTTTGACCTGGCTGATCTCCAAATGCCCCCGGCCTCACTTCCCTCACAGGCATGTGGTTAGGGTTATCTGAGGGGGCTCTGTGTGCTCTGCTGTTCTCCTTCGTAGGAGACACCCTGGCTCCTCTCCCAGCTGCCATGGCCTGGATGCTTGTGCCCCCAAAAATGAGAATTCTGGACTCCAACCACACACCTAGGTGATGCTATTAGGGAATGGGTAACTAGATCATGGGCATGGAACCCTTTCTTGGATGAGATTCGTACCCTTATAAAAGGGGTCTCCGAGAGACCTCCACCCATTTACCATGTGAGATATGATGGAGCTGAGCGAGACAAATAGAGACTCTTATATTGTGTCTTACGAGCACATTGTGCTTCACAGTGTAGAATAGAATCTTCACACATACATTGTAAACAGCTCAGCATGGGTGTACTATGCTACTAGTGGTTTGTTGGTTCAGAGCCGACGTCTACATTGGTAGTGCAGCAGCAGCGACATGAGGCTCACAGACATAGAGAATGCACACCTGCCCAGAGAGCTGCTGGCAATCGGTCATTCCCAAGCTCAGGCTTGCCCCTCCGGGCAGATGGTCAGCTCATCTTTGAGAGACACTGATGCCATTTCTTCCTCCTTCCATCTCCTGCATTTTCTAAAGCCCAGATGACTGCTTCTGTTTCCACTCGCTATCTATATAAGCTGCTGCCTGGAGATGAGACGTAACCCTCTATCATATCAGGCTGCAGGCTTTCTGAATAAACGGCTTAAATATTCAATGCCCAGTCCCGTGCAACGGCTCAGCCTAGGAAAGCCACCAAGGCTGACAACCTAGTTTGATCCCTGGAACCCACGTAGTGGAAGAACTCCCAAAAGTTATCTTCTGATCTCCACACTTACGCCATGGCAAGTGCACACTAAATAAATAATTGTAAAAAAAATATTTAAAAATACTCAATTCCTGGGCCAATGAGATAGTTCAGTGGGTAAAGGTGCCGGCTACCAAGCCCGATGACCCAAGTTCAATCCCCAGGACCCACACAACATGACACTAATATACCCATACACATACACATATGAAATAAATAATGTAATTTTTTGTTTTTGTTTTTGTTTTTTTGAAACAGAGTTTCTCTTTGTATAGCCCTGGCTGTCCTAGAACTTGCTCTGTAGACCAGACTGGTCTCGAACTCACAGAGATCTACCTGCCTCTGCCTCTCGAGTGCTGGGATCAAAGGTGTGTGCCACTGCTAGCCAGCTTAAAATCTCTTTTAAAAAGACTCAATTTCTGTCTCTGGTCATTGGCATTTATGATGACATAATGCTGGCAGTTAAAAAGGGAGCCCTCTGCAGACACAGAATCTGTCTAGTCTCTGGTCTTTAGAACTATGACAAACAAGCGTGTGTGGTTTCTGAGCCACCTTGCCTGTAGTCCTTTGTGATTGCAGCCCAGCCTGACTGAAATGCAGGCACCAGTGTGGCATCCCTCCAGATCCTGGGAGCCACATGTCCCCTCCCTGATCTCCAAAGCGGAAGGCTGAGAGTGAAAGCCAATAAGAAGGGTGAGGGGCCTCAGTGATGGGCCAAGTTACTGCTGCCACCAGACACCCCAGCTGGCCATCGAGTGACCTCTATCCTCGGCTGGTTGTTTATTTTGCAATCCACAGTTAGCCTGCTCTCCTTTGTGAAGGTGAACAGTTGCGTGTCTGCGGCCGGTGACCATTTCTCTCCTCAGAGAGCTTATCTCACTGTTGGGGTGGAAATGAGCTGTGGCTGAGAGAATGGACAGGCTGCACCTCAGTCGAGCAGCTCTGGGGACAGGTGAGACAAAGTGGCTGGGACCCCACCCGTGAGGGGAGGAAGCCCTCTTACCTCCAAAGGCTGGCCTCATGGTGAAGTCATGGTCGTCTACTCTGAGCAGAGGCCGAGGTTTTCCTGGCCGGATTTTGGTCACATCAAGGTTCTTTTTATACAAGTGACTGCAAAGAAACAGAAATGTTTTTCCATGGCCCACCAAGGCACTGGGAGAGGCCCTGTGGATGGATGGCTCCCTGCAGGGCCCACCTGATCTGTGCTTTTTCTCTATTCTGACACACACAGGCAGCGGAAAAGGCTAACGGAGTCTCCCCACCACCCACACCCTCACGGGCATGTTCACCAGAGCACAGGTCCTTCCAGAACATTCTGAGAGCAGACGTCTTCCCATGCAGACTATTGTCCTACCCGGCAAGTTCTTAGTGAGTCGTGAGTGGGTGAAAGTGGGGATTGCAGGATGGTGAAGATTACCAAGATTTTTCTTCTAAAAAATTTCCTAAAGCTGAGCCTGGTGGCATGGTGGGTGGCGCATGCCTTTAACCCCACCACAGGAGGTAGAGGCAGGTGGATCCCTGTGAGTACAAGGCCAGCCTGGTCTACAGAGTGACTGCATTCCAGGAGGCCAGAGCTGCAGAATGAGACTCACATGTTACAATATGGTTTGGAATAAACATGCTGTGACATAAACAGACGCAAAGCCCCAGATTGCTGCTTTCCCCAGCTAGACCTGAAGCGGCTTCTGTCAGTCCAGGGGACAGGTCTGTACACTCCATCTAGCTCGGTCCCTTCATTGTCTTATATATACTCTTTTGTCACCACAACCACACAGTCGGTGGAGCAGTCAGATCCAGAATATTGTAAAGCATCTGCCTGCTGGTAGGTTATTCTGTGGCAGGAAGGAAGTTAGTCTATGTGGGGCACCGAAGCTGTATCGTTTGTATTTCCCAGGCAACCTTCTAAAAGGCGCGATCTGAGCTTATCTCCGTGTGTCTGTGCTAAGCACAATGCCCAGCACACACTAGACACTCAGCAAAGTGGAAGCAATATGAAGGAGGCACCAGCCAGCTTCTAGAAGGAATTGAAACTGATTCTAGCACGTTTGGCCAAAGTTGTTCTAAACTAGATGGTTCTTGGCCTTAACTTAGGATTCCCCAAGAGCTTTCAAAAATCCAGATGCTTGGGCACGACCCAGATCACTTAACTCTGTCTCTGGAAGGGACCCGCGCTAGCTAATTCCCACACAACCACACTGAGGACCACTGCTCCCAATGTGACATCCTAAGATCCTGTGGCACCTGGGTGACTGGCTCTCAGACTTAACCACAGTGTCATCGCGTGGGGAGCTGTCACACTGCTGCTGGGGGGCTGGGGTGATTCTGAGGGAACAGACATGCTAGGACTTCCCAAAGCCCTGGAGAGAGCTGGGTGAGAGGAACCAGAAAACTGGCAGCACTTTACTCTGGAGCTGCTTTTGGCAATTTCCAGAGCTGGCCAGATGCAGGCTGGTGCTGACCACGTGGTTTAAGAGGTGAGGTGACCGACTTGTGAAAGGAGGCAAGTCCTTCTCAGGACTGCGGGCTGCTGTGCGGCCTTCTGGGGGTTGGAGAGATAATGGGGCGCTTTGTTCTGAGTGCTCACCATCCCCTTTCCATACTCACATTTTAACCTCGTGTTCCTGCCCCACTCACTCACTCACTTTTAGGAAAACGTGTTTTCTGTTTGGACTCTAGGAGAAAGGAGGCAGTTTTCCTCTCCTGTGACCTCGGAGATGCCTGTCCTTTATCCTCCAACAGCTCTGCACAGACAGTATAATGCAATGGGACATCAAAGCTGTGCACATCCATGAAGTGGCCATTAGAAACAGGTAGCCATTTACAACTTAGATAGAATCCAATACAATCAACTCTCCTGTTTCTCCCTCACACTAGCCACATGTAAGTGCTCAAGAGCAACTCACAGCTTGAACAGTGTAGAGAAACAACAATTCCACAATCACAGGACATTTTATTATTAGTTCGGTGCCAGTTTAATGGTTGGCCAGGCAGGTTTCTTTATAAGCTGCAGCCTCCAGCTTCAGGTTTCTTTGGGGGCTCCCTGCCTCATCTCACAGCCCCAGACCTCTCACTCACTCCTTCATTTCCAGTGAGGGCTCGACGTCACCTCGTTCTCCTCCTTCAACCTTGGGGATGTCAGCATCTGTATGGACAGCTGGACAGACGTAGGGTAGTTCCCAGTGCCCGGAACCACTTGCCATATTTCTAGGAGCAGCTACTCTGCCTAACATGTTCACACCACGGGAGAGTGCGGCTCACATCCTCACGGGCTTGTAACCTAGTCTGAGGAGATGCCGGTAAACAGGTAGAGAGATAAGTGATGTCATTTCAGGAAGTGCTGAGTGCCACAAAAATCACAGAACAGGGTAAAGAATAAGAGATGGTTTGGCAGGGGAACTATTGGGACGTGTCATGGGAGGTCTTCGGAGACCTGGAGGGAGAGAGGAATGGTGGAGTGAGCCAGGAGCACAGTACAGTGAGTGCAGTGCGGGGACAAGGGACACCTTCAACGCGGCAGCCACTTACCTGGCTCAGCCCATCTGGTTCCGGCTGACCCACAACTGAGTCTTTTGACTCTGCCTGTCTTCAGGAAGCCCCCTTTCCTGTTCTCACTTTCTTCCTCTGTGAGGTTCTGAGGTAATGGGGCTCACAGAGTGTCTGACCCTCCTTGACACAGAGCCCTGGAACTCCACCCTCAACCCCCGCTGCCAGTCCGCAGCTCCTTCCCTCTGTCAGTGAGCAATTAAACTGGACCCCAATGTCTCCTACTTTGGACCAAAGGTAAGCGGAGATCCACTGTAGGCCAGGCCTGCTCTAGTGGCATCTGTCAGCCTTTACCGGAAGTGACAGCAATACATGTGTTATATCCCTCTTTGTTTCCTTCTATAAAGCAATAGAGTTTACTTTTCTGAGCGAGCTTTGGGTTCCTCTCTGTACACAGCTTCCATTAGCCATACCCTATGCCACAGCAAGACCTTTTTGACAATGAATGGGCTTGCTCCGACATGTCACTGCCACCAGAGTCCATGTTGACCCCAGGGCTCGCTCTGGTGTTGGCCATTCTAAAGGTTTGGGTAAATGCATGTGTCATGACAATACCATATAAATTAGTTTTGCTGCCCCCCACCCCAAGTCCTTTTAGTCTCAAATTTTTCTTTACCATAAATAAATAAATAAATAAATAAATAAATAAATAAATAAATAAATGCTATTTCTCCAAAGAGCTGGGTGTCATGTGCTTTGGCCGTCCCAGCACTCAGGAGGCAGAGGCAGGTGGATCTCTGTGAGTTAATAGCAACTTGGTCTACATAGTGAGCTCCAGAGACACCAACGAGTGAAACTATATGTGGATCCATATGTAACACAAGAATCCATATGTAACACATGCATCCATATGTAACACGTGGATCCATATGTAACACATAGATCCATATGTAACACGTGGATCTATGTGTAACACGTGGATCTATATGTAACACGTGGATCCATATGTAACACGTGGATCCATATGTTACACATGGATGGATCCATATGTAACACATAGATCCATATGTAACACGTGGATCCATGTGTAACACGTGGATCCATATGTAACACGTGGATCTATATGTAACATGTGGATCCATATGTAACACGTGGATCTATGTGTAACATGTGGATCCATGTGTAACACGTGGATCCATATGTCACACATAGATCCATATGTAACATGTGGATCTATGTGTAACACGTGGATCCATGTGTAACACGTGGATCCATATGTAACACGTGGATCCATATGTCACACAGCGTGCTCAAGAAAGTTTGTACTACGCAAATGAGCCACACAGGCCTGTGCTACAGAACATGAAAGCTGGGTCCTTTCTGCACTGCCACTATCAGAACTTCTGCCTTGGTTGGCTTTCTACTGCTGTGATAAACACCATTACCAAAAGCAACTTGGGAAGAAAGGGGCTGTTTCATCTTACAGCTTACTGCTCATCACAAAGGTCAGAAGCTGATGCAGAGGCCCTGGAGGGGTGGGGTGCTGTTTACTGCCTGGCTCCTCATGGCTTGCTCAGCCTGCTTTCTCATCCCCAGGACCACCTGCCCAGGGATGGCACCATCCACAATGGGCTGGACCCTCTCACATCAATCATCAATCAAGAAGATACCCCACAGACTTGACTATAGGCCAATCTGATGGAGGCATTTTCTCAGTTGGGGTTCTCTCTTCCTAGGAAACTAGTTAGTGTCAAGTTGACAAAAAAAAAAATCAACCAACACAGCTACTGAACTTTCTCTTTGTTCTCACTTTCTCCACCAGAAATGGTTGTGATAAATGATTCTACTTCTGCAGCTGCATCTCTGCTCAGTCCTCTGTTCCAGGACATAAGAACCAGGAACCTGTTCCAGGGCCAGTGAGGCACGACATCCGCCAATATCAGGGCCCTAAGCAGATCCCTGCAAAGACTGCAGGGGAGGTGCCTGAGGGGCTCAGAGGGCTTAGCAGATCACAGACATTAACGGTGCCCTCTGCCTCACAGCGCAAATCCTTCCTGTCAACACACTTTCCACATCTATCCAGGGAAGCATTCGTGAACCGGAAGTCACAGAATGCCGTCACTCCACCAGGGTACAGCAGGCTTAATTCCGCTGCCATTGAGGCTCAGATTTTTTTTTTTTTTAAGGGACTAGTTGTTTGATAACCAGAGTCATGGAGGTCGTCCTGGGCCCTGAGCTATTTGTCACAAGGGGTACATTCTCCACTCATCTTTTCTCAGGCATGGTCCTTAGCCCCAGACTCCTGAGCCTCTCCCTCATGGTAAGAAGTCAAAACTGGCTGGGTAGTGGTGGCACATGCCTCCAATCCCAGCACTTGGGAGGCAGAGGCAGGTGAATCTCTGTGAGTTCGAGGACAGTCTGTACTACAAAGAGAGTTCCAGGACAGCCAGAACTGTTACACAGAGAAACTCTGTCTCAAAAAAAAAAAAAAAAAAAAAAAAAAAAAAAAAAAAAAAGGAAAGAAAGAAAAGGAAAAAAATGTTAAAACTGTTAGGTGACCTTAAACCTGACCTTTTGTGAAAAGGAAAAAAAAATGCTCATCATGCCTGAGGGGCAGCTGTGCCCACAGGGGCAGGTTAGAGTTCTGGATCTTGGTTTATTTGCTAACAATAGTAATCATAACACCCGTGACATTTCTCCATGCAGGCACTCAACTGTGAATCTTAGACCCTCCTGAACGACCATCAAACTCCTTCTTCAGTGGAGAGACTGAGGTTTACTATGATTAGGGAAATCTGCATGGACGGAGAGTAGCTTCCCTGGCCTCTCAACTCCTTGTCATGGGCGAGAGTTACTTAGGGGCAGGAGAAGAGGCTGGCCCTGGTCCAACAAAACAGAACCATCATGAAAACCGAGAGAGGCATGGCCAAGGATGGGGCTCCGAGAGATGGTACCCGGGAAAGGGAGGACAAAGGAAGCCGGAGACTGAAGAGGACAGAGGCGGGGCCGGCCTCTGAGGCAGGAAAGGGAGGAAGGAGGCAGGGAGGAGCGGGCTGAGAAGTCAGAGGCGGAAAGGCAGGAAGAACAAGAAAGTGCTGGATAAGACGGCCAGCTTCCTTGACCGAAGTTCCACACAGAGGATCACCAAAGGTCAGAGGGCTTTGACAAGGCAGCTGCTGGGCGGGATAACTTTCGTGTGAGTGGCTTGCCAGGGCATGCAGGAAGGCTGTCAGGTAAGAAGGCATGTAATTGTGCGTCCGTGAGGTAACACCTGTGTGGTGTGTGACTCTGTGAGGGAGACTGTGTACACGTTTGCGACTAGAACTACATGGGTGGTATGTGTGTGCGAATGTGTACACATATTTGTGCGTGAACAAGACTTCTAAGAAGGGTTCCGAGGCTGTAAAGAAAGGGGTCCGGTTCTACATGCCTGCTTGTCAGTATAGCTTAACTCCTATGTAATGAAATCTGGAAACTAAAGCGTCAGAACCATGACTGACCCGCCCCCCAGACCACCTAGCTCTGTGGTTGTTTGACCCCACGCATGTCCTGAGAGACCCAGAGAGACCCTGCACTGCCCTTCCTACCCTCTCCACAGCCAGGCTTCAGTGAGGGCCCACCCTTTGGCTCTGTTCATCTTTTCTCACCTTGACTCCTCATGGGACGAATTCCAAGAAATAGTCCTCACCCCCAGCATCAGACCCAAGCTGTGCCCAGTGCCCACATAGTGTCGAGTGACGCTCTGGGCCTTCTGAGAAGCAGCGCAAGTTGTGGCAGCTAGGCTGCTGAGTGGGGTCCTAGAGTGTGGGCCCCATTCTCAGGGGACAGTTTCCTGCAATGCTGTCCCTTGAGTGAGTGAACCAGCCACAGAGTGGCTCACACCCCTGAGGCACTCATGCTGTGTAAAAGGAGCCTGTTCAGGCCCGTGGCCAGCATGTTCTCAGTGGGAGGGAGTCCCACAAGTCAGCTGTTGCTTTATGGTTTTGAAGAATCACAGTGGTCTAAGCCCATGTGAACCCAGAAGATTCTAGAATTCTATTGTGAAGGCATCTATTTGAAATGGCCCACACCAAGGTTTCCCAGCCTCCTTTGACCCTGTATCTCCTTTTCACAGGATAGCTGATCACATTTCCCAAAATTAGAGCTCAGAAACGCAACTGAAACAGGTGATTTCTCAGGCCCCTTTCTGGCTCAGGCGTGGGCTTCTGGACACATAACCAAGCTTGGCCTGTGCTTCCTGGCTGAGTGGGACAGAGCCTCAGAGAGATCCTGGCTTCCCAAAGTAGCAGGCTCCATTGAAGGGCTAGAAGTTGATTATAATTCTTATTCTTAGATTCTTTCTGAAAATAAGGAAGCAGCCAAGACTGAGTCTAGTATGCCTATTTACAATACTGTGTGTGTATGTGTGAGTGTGTGTGTGAGTGTGTGCATGTGTGTAAGTGTGTGTGAGTGTGTGTGTGAGTGCATGTGTGTGTGTGTGAGTGCGTGTGTGTGTGTGTGTGTGAGTGCGTGTGTGTGTGTGAGTGCGTGTGTGTGTGTGTGTGTGTGTGTGTGTGTGTGTGTGTGTGTGTGTGCAGATAAAAAGGGGGGATTAGAGGTTGAGATTCCAGAAAATGTTACCAGTAATAGTACATGGCCAAAAATATTTGAAGACCACTGACCTAGACCATTTGCCTCACATACTCAAGGCCCTGCAAATAAACAGACTAACAAAGACCTTATTTGTGTATGTTCAAAGCACACATTCTCAGAACACCTGGAGGAACAGGTGCAAACCATTTCACACAGGTATTCATGGCTTCTTCATGCCCAACAGCCCTTATGCCTCAGCTGGGGGTCAAGTTCTGTACAACTGTCCAAATCAGATTCGCTAGGAGTGGAGACCTTTTGAATACAATGGTTTTCAGTACGAATTCTGGGCTGACCAGTATTTCTTGGAAATGTCTGCAGCAGCATTCACTGTTGGTGGACATGTACTACTGACAAGCTGACAGACACTTCCTCTAGAATTCAAAACAGTATCACAAAGCCTGTTAATATGATCAAGTTCTCCCCTGACAACTTAAAGAAGACTACCCCAATTACATTTTATCTATTTTTGTCAGGCTAAGGCTCCCACTCCAGGCCTCACATGTTCTGCAAGCACCCTGCCACTGAGCAATACCTCAGCATTATGTGTTTTGTTAATAGTTCACATCAAGTCCTTATACAGTTTCTCCTTCAACACTTGACTGAAATCCTCTGGCCAACCTCCATGTTCCCTGCAGGATATAATCTGACAGAAGCAAAGCAGCATCAGGAAACACAGAGAGATTTTTACCCATCAAGTCTGAGCTACCTACCAAAATGCTCTTGGTGCCCACGGGCATTAAAACCAAGGCTCACTACATTGCAGATGTCAGCACTGTGGCAGATGTCAGCTCTTTGGGGAGGTGGGGGTCCCTCTAGCTGGGGTATTCTAATAGAACGTTTGAGAAGGTAACCACTAGCCCTGCTGGGGAAACCTACCAGGAATAGCCTTCCCCGACCCTCACCCGGCAAACCTACCTTTGCTTGGGCATTTCCAGCTGCCCTGTCCATCGCTTCCTCCTGGATTTTCTGCTCTCCACAAGAGCCATCAGGCAAAACGAGAACAAAACGAGTCTCATAAAATAAGGCATTCTGCAAATGTCTATGATGCAACAGGCTGCTGAGCAGGGGCCTTCAACGGGGCAAATGCCCCCTGGCTTGACCATGAATCCTGTCCCCAGCCTCCTGGAAATGCTTCTCGGAGGGGCTGCGAGGGCATGGTTGGCAAGGCTGAGTTTCCCAACCTACTAATTGATACTGACGCCTGTCCAGCCCCACCTCCCACCCACCCACCCCCGACACACACACACCTGGCTAGGACACAAATGCCAGGCTCTGTCCTGCCCTTTGCTTAGAGATTGGCCATTAGTCAAGGAGTCTGTTCCCCTGGGAAACTGGGATTCCTCTGAACCCTAGAACAGCTTTGGCTAAGGCTGTTATATAAAAAAATATTTTAAATCTCTTGAACACGCCAGCTTTTTGCTGAGATCATTAATCCACCTCTCTGGCTGCATAAAACCAGTCTGTCACATCCAGCAGCGAGTCGGCTTTGATTCCGAGTGGATTTGTATGTGTTTGGGGGAAGCTAGGAAAAAACACTGATGGTTCCAGAGGGCTTTTTGATCTAAGAGAATATGCTTTGCCTATGACTGAGGATAACTGCTTTTACGTCAAATGTGTACCTTTTTTTTTTCCAGAAAAAAACATCAAAGACATGCATTTTGATTTTGAAGAATAGCATGAGCAAACAAAAGTCATGGTTATGTAACCTCCTTTTCTTCCCGCGAGCACTCAATTCGCTTTGCTCATTGACCCTGAAATGTGTAAAGTCAAACTTCATCAATTAGGCTGCATTTCTATCCCTTGAAATGGACTTGTGCACACTAGAAGTATAGAGATACACGAGGTCATGTTTAACCTGCTAAACAGTACACTCTGTTTTAAAATGACTTAAAGCTTGGTTGCTGTGTGCTGGCAGTGAGTTGAGTGTCGTAGAAACAGATCTGAGGATGAAGGTAGATAGAAAGAGACAAAACTGGACTTTTATTATGTAGGGAAGAAAGAATCAAAAGCAGGAAAGAGGAATGAGATGATATATCTTATTTTGTAAGGATTCCTAATTTGAACAAGTTGTTTCAGGAATCAAAGTAACCAAAAAGGATGGTGTAAGAATGTGTTAATCCCAAAGATGTAAGGAGAAAGACCACCGACCCAAATCATCATGGCCAATTAATTAAAGCGAGATTTTATTTTATTCGTGTATGCAGGTTGCCTTCCAATAAGGCATGGTTCAAGAGGTCAGCATTAGACCTGGGCAAGATAAGGGTTAGGTGGTTTCCAAATGGGGGACTGGGCAGGCAAATAGGCAGGGTACAAGTAACAAGTTGGTCATGACCAGGTGGTCATAATAACCTTTTGAAACAAAAGTAGTGTTGCAATATGGTCATAACACTTCTTGAAACAAAGATATGGTTACCATTCCTGGAACACGAAGTGCAGAGCCATTTGTAGTTAAGGTTACAGGTGGGGCAGAGCCCAATCCTTGAGAAACAGAGGTTTAATCATAATCAGGAATGAGCCTGGCTTGTCTTTGCTATAAGATGGCTTTCAAGCCTAAGATGGAGGCAGGCTGGCTCATCAAATGCAGTATTAGAATCCACACCATACTGCTGCCTAGGCCACAGAACCTACAGTGCCCTTTCCCTTCTCACTGATACCAACAAGCACCTGCTGAGGACGTTAGAAACGCATCCGGGGCATCTGGCAGATGACCACACAGTCCCAAGTGTTCCAGCAAGACAAGAAGTGCAGAAAGGGGGCTGTGGAGCTGTGAAAACTGAGTGAGCAGCAAGTCCAGTGGGTTTTTACTCCTAACGCAAGGATCTGTGTCTCACCTGATGAGAGTCCTTAGCTGGTACAGAGGGACAGTTTCTAGGAAAGATGAAACCTCTAAAGGATTAGTTTTATTTCAGGAGCGGCTCACTCAGAAGGGACTTTAGCAAACGGCGTCTTCTCAAAGGGGAGTCCGCCCTTTCTTATTTAACCTTCGTGCCGGGGTCGTGGGAGTATACAGCAGGTGACAACTAGTGTTTGACAAGTCGACCCACCAGACGTTTAACTCCCTGATGGGGAGCCCCACCTGGCAGAGCCGTGGGGTCGTTGGCTGTGGAAATTGGTTGTTTTCTGTCTGTAGCTTTCTCATGTGCCACCGTTATACCTCCCGATAAGAACAGCTGTGGGGTGCTTTCCACAGCCCTTTGGTGGTGTGTTCTACATCTCTGGGCACTCAGTTAGCTGTGAATTTCTGTTTAAGCTGTATAATTCTGATGAACAGAAATATTACCAGAATATTCTTCTTTACTGACACAGGAAAGTAACAGTATTCTCAGTCTCAAAGACAGTCTTGTGGTGGCCAACAGGCAGCTAGTGTAACAGCCTAGATGTGAGAAACTTTTTTTTTTCTTTTCTGTCAAGGTGGCTACCCCACCAAGGGCCAATGGACCCCCCAAGTGGGAATTTCCCTCAGGAATTTCATGCTTCCCAATGTGGCTACACTGAATAAATCTTTTTTCTTTTTTCTTTCTTTCTTTTTTTCTTTTACTAGTAATTTGGCTGATTTGGTAATCTGTTTCTTGAGAATGAGTCCCTGAACTTGGCTTCTTGGGTTACAGGCTGTGAACCCAAGTTTGGTAACAGTAACATCTGTACAGACAAGGGGTGGATGGGGAGCCAGACTTGGAAACATAGGTTCATCTATGTTGTAGCATGTATCAGTGCAATGTGTTCAAGGTTCATCTATGTTGTAGCATGTATCAGTGCAATGTGTTCAAAGTTCATCTATGTTGTAGCATGTATCAGTGCAATGTGTTCAAGGTTCATCTATGTTGTAGCATGTATCAGTGCAATGTGTTCAAGGTTCATCTATGTTGTAGCATGTATCAGTGCAATGTGTTCAAGGTTCATCTATGTTGTAGCATGTATCAGTGCAATGTGTTCAAGGTTCATCTATGTTGTAGCATGTACCAGTGCAATGTGTTCAAGGTTCACCTATGTTGTAGCATGTATCAGTGCAATGTGTTCAAGGTTCATCTATGTTGTAGCATGTATCAGTGCAATGTGTTCAAGGTTCATCTATGTTGTAGCATGTACCAGTGCAATGTGTTCAAGGCTCATCTATGTTGTAGCATGTTTCCCCACCTATCCCTTGTACAGGTAGAAGCCATGCTGTTTCTCTCTTCACCAGCCTGTTTCCACTTTTAACCATAATGCCATGAACGTCTGTTTCTGTCCGTATAAAGACGTTTCTGGTGTGACCCACATGTGTACAGAGGTCGGGTGACAATAGGTAGGGGGTCAGGTGACAACAGGCAGGGGCAAGTCCTCTGCTTCCAACCAGTGTAGGACCCTGGGATCAAACTCAGGCTGCCAGGCTTTGCAGCAAGGACCTTTAATCGCTGAGCCCACATTTTTCTTCGGGATACAAAAATGGACTGGGATTCCCGGGGCATACAGTAACTTCATGTTTCACTTTTTATGGAACCATTAAACTATTTCTGAAAGGGGCTGCACCATTTTACATTCTCACCAGAAATGTAGGATTCCAATTTCTTCACATTTCTGACAGTCATCTGGCTGTGTGTGTGTGTGTGTGTGTGTGTGTGTGTGTGTGTGTGTGTGTGTGTGAAAGATCTCTAAGTATTTTGCCTGCATGTATGTGTATGAACATTGTGCGTGCTTTGTACCCAAGGAGGTCAGAAGAGGGCATCAGATATTGTGGGGTGGTTTGAAAGAAAATGGCCCCCAAAGCAAGTGGCACTATTAGGAGGAGTGGCCTTGTTGGAGGAAGGGTGTCACTGTGGAGGCGGGCTTTGAGGTCTCATATATGCTGAAGCCACACCCAGTGAGACAGAGCACTTCCTGTGGCCTGCACTTGATGTAGGACACTCAGTTCCTTCTCCAGCACCATGTGTGACTGCAGACTACCATGTTCCACCACGATGATAAAGGACTGAACCTCTGAACTGTAAGCCAGCCCCATTTAAATGTTTTCTTTTGTAAGAGCTGCTGTGGTCATGGCGTCTCTTCACAGCAATAGACACCCTAAGACGCCTGGGAACTGGAGTTGAGATAGTTTTAAGCTGCCACCTGAGTGCTGAGAACCATACCCCGTCTCTGCAAGGGCAACAGTGCTCGCTCCCCAAGCCCCTCCTCACTTTTAAGATTGGGTTTTACTATATAGCCCAAACCGGCCTCAACTTCCTAAGTGCTGGGACCACAGATTGCACCACAATTTATCTGGAGTTCAGAGTCTAGTTATAAGCATCCTGGCCGTACTTCTGAAGTGGTATCTTAGTGCGGTTTGATGTGCAGCTTCCCAATAATGATGTAGAGCTTCTCTTCATATGCACACAGGCCATCTATGTATCTTTGCAGAAATGTCTATTCAAATCTGTTCTCAGTTTTTTGCTTTATTTCATGTTTTGTTTTGATTTGGTGTTTGTTTTACAATAGGGTCTCATGTAGCTCAGGCAAGCTTCAAACTCACTATGTAGCCAAGGACTTTAAACTGATCGTCCTGACTCCACTTCCCATATCCTGGGTTTACAGGTGTGTGCCACCATGCCCAGCTTCTGATCTGTTGTCATTTTTAAATCAAGCTCTCTTTTTTAGTATTGAATTGTGATATATATATATATGTGTTTATTTATTTATTTTTGACAAGATCTCACTATGTAACCCTGGCTAGCCTGGAACTGGCTATGTAGACTGGGATGCCTGGAACTCACAACAGTCCACCTGCTTCCTGGTGCCTGTGGTGGCACATGCCTGTGTCTCTTGGTGATATGGGCATGTGCCACCAAGCCCAGCTAAAGCCCAGCTGTCAGTTTCTTAATAAAGATTCTTTGAAAAAAAATGATTTCAATGAATTATAGCATCCCTTTCTTTGGTTCTTTGTACTTTTGAACCTGTAGCTGCGAAGTCACTGCTTAGTCCAGGGTGGCAAAGACAGTTTCTTCTAAGGGTTTTATAGTTGTAGCTGCTGAGTTTTGACATGGGGTCTGGATATGTAGCTCAAGTTGGCCCTGAACTCCAAATCTGCCTGCTTCTGCTTCTGCCTGTCCAGTGCTGGCATTACAGGTGATTGTCACTAGCTGTAGTTCTTACATTGGTGTCTATGATTCCCGTTGACTTAATTTTTGTCTGGCACGGGCTATGAATAGTCTAGCTTGTAACGCTGGCTCATTTGAAGACAGAGGGGTCAGGTCCATGGGCCCAAGCTCAGAGACTGGGAGACCCCAGCAGCATTAGCTGAAGCAGGTCTCTGGTCATGGACAGCAGTATGGCTTCCAATCGGGTTTAGGCAACGGGAGAGGCAGAGGCAGGTGTACTGAATGAAGATTGGCTGTTTATAAAGAATGGCGAGCGAGACTGGAGGAGATCCAGGGGTAACTGCACAGATTAGAAAGTGGCTAATGCAAAGTGGCAAAAAGCACAAAGTGCAAGTCCAGACATGGTACTCGAAGGAATGTGGACAAGAGGTAAGATTAGATGGCAAAGAACTCAACCTTCGCTCAAAAACAAGCTATGGTGTTGTCACTGGTTTACTACCACAGTCTTGGGTGGAACTATTTTGTTGTCTGGGGTGGTGCCCTGTTTGAGGTGAATAGGTATTTGTTCTCATGACCTCAGGAAGTCACACAACTGTCACGGTCACTCTGTGTTCACTTGATACGTACTTATTTGCAGGTATCAGAACAATGTAGGCTTTTCAACACTTCACCCTAGGTCCCCATAAGAATAGGCATGTGAAGTTTTAGATTCTGGTCTATAAAAATGGGCAATCTCGCCGGGCGGTGGTGGCGCACGCCTTTAATCCCACCACTTGGGAGGCAGAGCCAGGTGGATCTCTGTGAGTTAGAGACCAGCCTGGTCTCCCAAGTGAGTTCCAGGAAAGGCGCAAAACTACACAAAGAAACCCTGTCTCGAAAAAAACCAAAAAGGGCAATCTCAAGATACCACGTTTCTTCATAAACTAAAGTTGAATAAACAGAGTTCTTATTCTCCTGAAGTAGGGAAATTTGTCATTTTCATAGTAAAATCAATAAATTAGTTTTTTTAAAATTCATTGAGAAGCTTGATGAAATCATTTATTTCAGTAGAATAAAACAATCAGCAGCATGGAAACGTAAAGTGCTACATAAATTCCCCACATACAGAAGATTTGGAAGGCTCATGGGCTTAGACTGCTACAAGCAAAACAGGCATATTTTTCAAGCATGCTATTTTAACTACCTTGATGTGTAGTCATATGCTATGCTGGTCAGTGAAGAAGCCTTAAGTTCTGAAATCTGAGAACTGGGGAAATGGGAATCCTAAGACTTTACCTACCAGCTTCTACATGGTTTGGGCCTTAAGCTGGAACTAAAGGGCTAAACCGAGGCTTTAATGACAGAGGCCCGCCCTTCAGTGAGCTCACTGACTCCAAGGTAGAGGTGGAAGAACAATTTTTAGATAGCGATGAGGGAAAAAAGCACAATGTACCACTTTGATGTGTGCATCAAGTGCTAAAAAGAAATGCCAACACACATGAGGAGGTAGCTAGTTAGCAACAGGGAGGGGAGAACGGATGAAATCACAGAGCAACTTCAGTGCTTAGCACAGGCGCCCCCAGAAGATGCAGCAAGATCACAGAGCTCCCAAGGCTGCCAGTCTGACTGGGAGGAAGACCGCTCTAGTGCATGAGCCATTTCAGCACAGGGTGATGGTGCAGGCTTTCTCTCCTACGTGGGAAGGCCATCCAGGCTTCCAGTGGGTCACTGGCTTCTCTCTAGGAGACCACTGACCCAATGTTTCTCAAATCTGGTATTATAAACTAAGACCTCAGAATATATTTTTTCATGGCAAGAAAATTAAAAAATTGGTAACCTATAGTCTTCCTGACATGAGGTCATCACAAAGTTCCTGGGCTTTTTAGACTTTACCAATTTCATATACAGACATAAACAATTTGAAGAACTATAAAATGCTAATCTATTAAACTTTAAATCTATTTAAATGTCAAGATTAGATTATAACATACAGTAACTTTTTAAATTTTAGGTGTTGACACAACAACAAAAACTGGCTACCAAATAAAAATAGAAATTATGTTCAATGGTTAACAGACCCCAAATCACATAATAGGACTGAAGATTCAACTCACCTTTAAAATGATTTTGTGAGCTGTTTTTATCTTGCCCATAATTGTATTTAGTTAAAACCACATAAAGACTTTACAGCTACCCTCCCACACATACTTAAAATAAGTATGAGCTAACTAACCTTTGTGGACTGACCTAGAACCCAAATACCATTTATATTCAGTTGTCTAAAAAAAAAAAAAAAAAAAAAAAAAAAAGCTTATAAATGGGCTTTGAGAGCATGATATATTTAAAAGCTGGGGACTGCCTATATTTTCCAGTTAAATCATTAATACAGGACCCTCAAGAGATCCCTCAAGGTTGCTGAAAGAACATGCTGCTGGCAGTATTGCCTCAAGTGGTCTCACTAGGCACTGTGAATTAGATGTCAGCAAAATTAGATGTCAGCATCTGGGGGGCTGGCTGGCACTAAGGGACATATAAACTTTTCCACTGAAATCTTTCTTGGCTTTGATTAGTGAACAATTCTAAATAAAAGTTGGTTTGTTTTTAATCTCTCATAGGCCCTGAGTTTTTCTATTAAAATTTGAATATTATGCATATTCCTAGAATAATTAAAAGCTATAGTGATTACAGAGCTGGGCATATAATATAATTCAAACCATGTACAAATAAAAGCAGAGCAAATATTCAAACTTTATGATCTTCTCACCTAACTTGTGAAAGAAAATATCAAACTATTTCTTGGCATGGACCCTTTCTTCCATATGAGAGGGTTATAAAGGCCTGTTTTCTTTTAATTTGTGTGCATATTAGAAGTGATAACAACATATCAAAGTGGCTACAAAGTCTTTTCTCTTCAAGTAATATCCAAAAACAAAAATATAACAAAGATCTTCATAAATGTCTGAAATAAAATTATTCTCACCGAACAAAGTCTCACATACAAAGATCACAGAATGGGCAATCCCAGTCTCTCCTAAAAATGACACTTTCCAAGAAGCTGATGAGCAATGTGCCCTCCCTCTGCCACTCTTTATTCCCCCTCATTCTACAGAGCTAGAGACAGTACTCAGTGAGTGACTGAGTAATACTCAGTAATACTCCAGATGTACAAACACCACCTTTTACCTCAAACTCCAAAGGACTACATAGAAAAGCGTTGCAAATCTATGAAAAGCAGCGCGGGTGTGAGCAACCACAATAAGTTACTTGTTTTGAAGTAGATTAAATAGTAAGACAAGGAACTGTGGCTTCCAGTCCCTTAATCTAAGCAACAAACTGTTGGACCACAGCCTGAATGTCTGCCTATAGCACAATGAATTTATAACGATAAAAAAGGAATGAAGGGTAAATACAAAATAATCTTTTTGTAAACAATCCTTAGGTTATACCCAATGCAGAATGTTTAATGAAGCAACTGAGTCTCAGCTCTTAAGTCACAAACCAGCATTATAACTCAAAGTCAAATATGTACTCATTGGCCAGATATATCCGTCGGAATATAAGAGCTGCCAATGCCAAAGTCAGGATGACGATGAGCATGGCAGACCCGCCGTGCTCAGTGTGGTTGGCTCTAGGTGGCTGGCCTTGGATCATGTCGGGGGAAGTAGAAGACCTTCTCTGACTCTGCTGCTGGGCCCGGCGCTGTCGAGGGCTCATGGAGGTATTCTTAGGAGCCGGTTGGGTAGGTTGTGGCAAGGGTGCTCCAGATGGATTCTGGGCTCCATACTAGGAAACAATAAGAAAAATCTGTTTGAAATTGGCAAAATAAAATAAAATAAACCACATTTTGTATATGTATATGTACTCATTAACAGTTTAAGAATATGTAGAGTATTAAATATGACTAAGGTCAATCTACCAAGAACCATGTAAACACTGAGACTAGGAAGCAACCCTGATGAATAAGCCAGAAACATGAGCTATCGTGAGCACTCATGAGGTGGAGGAGCCCATTTATCAGCAGACACAGGCACTGCTGCTGTTTCTCCCCAGATGGCTGACGCAACAGTAGTTTCTGCCAAGCATCTGGTCACTGCTCTTCTTTCCCAAGATCTGAGGAGAGAAGCAGGTTCTCCACTTTCAACTTAAAAAACTACCCATTACAAATAGTAGAAAGAATGCAACTCCAAGCTGTCCACCTTTGGTGAACCTGACTTCTTCAGTATAACCTTACCTACCATGTCGACATACTTCCATCAACCATAGTAAGGAAGTAATTTTAAACCACAAATTTTCATATTGCTATTGTGAAAATGTGCTTGTTTTCAAACTCAGCTTGTCCTTTCCCATAATCCCAGACAAGTGAGCTAAACACAAGTCTAAAAGTATCTAGTTTATGTTGTCAAGAGTGCCCTGGGTATGTGAGTGCCACAGTGTGCTCAACTTTGTACATGGCTGTTCCCCCAAAGCACGGGGTGGTGGCGTCTTCTGGTTACCTCAAGGAATGCTCAGTCAGGAGACAATCATAATGTGACACAGGGTTTCAAAATCTTAAGTTTGCCTTGGAGATAATAAAACTGGCAACAGCACACTCAAAGAAGCCACACAATGTATGGACTACGCTCAGACTCATTAACCTGCCTCGACTGCATCAATGGCTTTTAATGCTTCCACCGAGAGTGGTGTTACCACTAGAACATACTCATCTTTTCAGACAAGAAACAAGAATGGTTTACTCAGAAGAATATGGATTAAATATAAGATATTTCAAATACTTTCCAACAGAGAAAACACAAACACTTAAAAGAATCAAATAATATAACCCAAATTCTTCTTTAATCATTGAGAGTGTAAGCTTTGTGCTGGCAACAGCTTTAAACACGAGGAGGAAACCACTGGTCTGAGTTACTTACAGAATTTCTATTTGAGCTGGGCGGTGGTGGCGCACGCTTTTAATCCCAGCACTCAGGAGGCAGAGGCAGGTGAATCTCTGTGAGTTCGAGGCCAGCCTGGTCTACAGAGTGAGTTCCAGGACAGGCTCCAAACGCTACACAGAGAAACCCTGTCTCGAAAAAAAAATTTCCACATTACAAGATGTTAGTTGGGTTTGGTAGTTCCCACCTGTAACAGCAGCACTCGAGAGTGAAGATAGGAAGATGATAATAAACTCAAGGCCAACCTGTGCTACACACCAAGAAAGACCCCATCTCAAAATACAAAGGTGTGAGGATAATGGCAGAGCGCTTTCCCAGCATCCACAAAAACCTGAGTTTGATCCCTAGCATAGGAATAAAGCTTAGATAATCTGAAATTCTTAAAATTATTCTTTGGCGTTTCTTAATGTAGTTAACACATAACACAGAGTTAAAAAGAAAGTACTGGTGAGTTGAGTTTAAAGTAGTACCAATGCTGAGTTAAGAGCTGCAACTTAGACTTGTACAATCTAGGATTCCAAGAGACAATCTGCCCACTGAAGAGTGCAGACACATAAAACCCAATGTTGTATGGTGACATGTCATCACAAACGCCATGCAGCAAGTGAACCAACATTCACTGAGTGAACTGAGTTACAGCAGCCAGCACAGGAACACTACAGTCTAACTTCTGCATCCTCTGATGCTCAGCCAAGAGCATCAGTGTACTCAGTAGATCCAGGGACTACGGCTTAAAGAGAACACACAGCTGGTAACCAGCTGGCCTTGACCACGGGATCCTCTGGCCTCCGCCTCCCCCAGTGCTAAGACTGTAGGCATGCACCACCATACCTAGCGAGGAAACAGGTTCTTCCCTTTCTTTTTTTTTTTCTCTTGAGACAGGGTTTCTCTCTTTTTTTTGTTTGTTTTTTGTTTTTTGGAGACACGGTTTCTCTGTGAGTTTTGGTGCCTGTCCTGGATCTCGCTCTGTAGACCAGGCTGGCCTTGAACTCACAGAGATCTGCCTGGCTCTGCCTCCCAAGTGCTGGGATTAAAGGCATGCGCCACCACTGGATGGTGAGGAACAGGTTCTTGGGGAAAAACATGATGACAATATTACTATAGCCTAACGGATTGGCTCATACTACAGCTTTTACTGAGTATATGATTTTTTTTCTTAGTTTGAAACTAACAAAGCAATGAGCCTTTATTAGTTCCAGTCTGGCTTTGCCTAGTAGACATGTGTTCCTAAGCCAGCTGTTTAGCCTAGGCCTCAGCTCCGTCATCTGTACAATGACAATAATATCCAATTCAGCAGTTGTGAGGATTAAATGGATTAATGATATAAAGTGCTTATGATACATAATTACTTATTAAATGTTAATCATTACTAATATCGTTACTATTAACATATCCTATTGAAAGCATTCAGATTTAGGTTCAAAAATAGGTTGTGAATTTACTTAGGATAGTTCTTAGCCTCCTTATTAGTATGATTAATACATTTAGAGAACAATCCTTAGAACATGCGTGTAATCTCAGCACTTGGAGGCTGAGGCAGAAAGATAGGTAAAACTATTTCATCCAAACAACCCCATTTAACAAAAAAAAACTAAAGTCCAGAAAGATTCATTCAAAACAACATAATTAGTGGGGCAGCTGGGCTAAAATCCTACTATTAGGAAAAATAGTTTTCAGTATTTGATCTAGAAGCATCTTACCTTACTCCAAACAATAGTGTAGGTTTGTGTGCATGGAGGGCAGGTGTGTGTGTATGTGGTGTTTGTATGTGGAGTGTGTAAGGAGGGTGTTTGTGTATGTGTATTTGTGTGTGTGGGGGGGGGGGGTGTAGTATATGTGTGTCATATGATTTGTGTGGTGCGTGGGTGTGTATTAAAGGATAAGAGCCATACCGATGTGCCGGCTGTAGCACCCTGGAATGCTGTAGGTAAATCGTCTTGTGACTCATTTAGTGAAAAAGAGTGGTTTACGTCTGATTCAGCGATAGTCTTTCCAGATGAATTCACTTCGGCCTATAAATAAGATACAGCCAAGAGCAGTGTTATAAGAAGAAATGAATGTTTAGCAGTTCAACTAATTAGCAATTAAATCTCCTAGATTTCCCCTCATTGCTCCTTTCATATGTACTGCTTTCCCTCTTACTGGCTTGCCTCCCTCAGCCTTGATGAGGGTTTGTGCCGAGTCTCACTGTATCTGATTATGACATGTTCAGTTGATATTCCTGAGAGCCCTGCCCTTTTCTGAAGGGAAATGGAGGAGGAATGGATCTGGGGAGAGCAGGGGTTTGGGGAAGGACTGGGAGGAGTGGAGGGAAGGGAAACTGTGGTCAGGATGTAACGGATAAGAGGATAGCCGGGCGGTGGTGGTGCACACCTTTAATCCCAGCACTCTGGAGGCACAGGCAGGTGGATCCCTGTGAGTTTGAGGCCAGCCCGGTCTACAGAGTGAGTCCCAGGTGACAGCCAAGGCTACACAGAGAAAGAAAGAAAGGAAGGGCAGGAAGGAAGGAGGAAGGGAGGGAAAGAGAACTAGAATGTAGTAAGCACTAGGGGTAGTTCTAAATGCAACTATAATCCATGTGGTCTATGTATTAATTAGCATATCCTGACAAAGTCCGACAGGGAGGTACTATTACTATTTATAGGTGTAAAGGGGACACATGACGGTAAAGTACTATATCTGACATGTCAGCCAGTAAACAGAAAAGCTGAGATCTGAATGCAGTCTATACACTAGTCTAGCTTTAACTGCTATGCCCAAATACCTGCATGAGTATAGCTTATACGTTTTGTAGTAAGAAAACATTATTTCTGAAATCTCATGTCAACACAACTGTATTACTTTCCTTTCTTATCTAGAATTCAGCAGTAAACAAAAAGGCTACATAAATGGATCTGTTCCGAAGTTTATAGTACCTTAAAACTAATTTGTCTCGCCAGTTCTTTGGCTTCTTGGTCAGCCTGGCTTGAATCACTTCCAGAGTTTAAAGGCAACAGGACATCCTTCATGGCAGAGCCACAGCCTTCACAACAGAAATCTTGTGATCTGGTAGGAAACAATGTTCTTCAGTGAGCACAAATCAAACAGTTGAGTACTAATTCTCTTTTGTTAAGATATTCAAATTGCGCTGGAGGGGTGGCTCGCACTTAAGAACACCGAGTGCTCTTCCAGAGGACCAGGGTTCCATCTCAGCACTCACATGGCAGCTCACATCCACCTGTAACTAGAGTTCCAGGGGACCCAACGCCCTCTCTGGTCTTCACAGGTGCTACACACACATGATGCACAGACATATATGCATGCAGGCAAGATACCCATTAACATAAAACAAAAATAAATAAATCTTTAAAAAAAATTGTAAAGATATTCAAATATGGAAAAACTAAAAGAAAAGAACACTTAACAACGTCATAATACAGTCACCTATAGGCTGTAGGACAAGGCAGCAACTCAGGTCTGAGGCAAGTATATGTGTTCATTAAAAACCTGCTTAGGTTTCATTTTTAAAAAATAAGTTATCTGTGCCGGGGTGTGGTGGCGCATGCCTTTAGTCCCAGCACTTGGGAGGCAGAGCCAGGCAGATCTCTGTGAGTTCAAGGCCAGCCTGGTCTACAGAGTGAGATCCAGGACAGGTACCAAAACTACACAGAGAAACCCTGTCTCAAAAAACAACAACAAAAAAGTTATCTGAAGAAAGATAAGCTTCAGATCTACATAAACTGTCTATCATACTCTATGATACTATCCTAAAGAACACAGATCATGAGCCTATTCAAAGTCTGTGAAAAGGTCTAATATAAAACTCCAATTATCTCTTAGTAAAAACATATACAACAAGAAAGAAGCCAATTAAAAATAGAATTTATGAGCTGGGTGGTGGTAGCATATGCCTTTAATTCCAGCACTCGGAAGGCAGAGGCAGGCAGATCTCTATGAGTTCAAGGCCAGCTTGGTCTACAGAGCAAGTTCTGGGACAGCCAAGGGCTACACAGAGAAACCATGTGTCAAAAAAAAAAAAAAAAAATATGCTGAGCTTGGTGACACACACCTGTAATCCCAGAACTCTGAGTTCAAAGCCAGCCTGGTCTACATAATGAGTTCCAGAACAGCTAGAAAGGAAATGGTACTTTGAATTGAATGAATTATTATGATTATATAGATAAAAATATACCAAAAAAAAAACCTAAGAGAGAGCAATATCACCATATCACTGTCTAATAAAATTTTCCGTTATTTTAGCCCAGATCATTTATTAGATATCTACTATAAGCTATATAAGTTGCTACAAAGATACAGTGGGTTCCATTCCAACCCCGGGGAGTTGATCTTACAGACAGCTACAAATAAATAATGACTCTGGCTCTTTCTACCTGTGATGCCAACCAAAGTGGGACAAAGGGCCAGTAATGCCTTCCAGGAGATATGTCTCCCACCGGAGTAAACCAAATCTTAGTAGAATGTTATCAATTACTTTAATTTTTAATTATTATTATATTTATGTATATGGGTGTTTTGCCTGCATGCATGTCTGTGCACCAATGTGTTCCTGTGCCCACAGAGAGCAGAAAAGGAAGGTAATTGGCTCCTGTGGGGCTGGAGTTACAGACCATTATGAGCCATAATGTGAGTCCTCTGGAAGAGCAGCCAGTGCTAACCACTGAACCATCTCTCCAGCCCATCAACTACTTTTATAAGAATGAACTAGTTGGGCTGGTAATACAACTTAGTGGACGAGTACCTGCCTGACATGAAGTGAACCCTGGGACTGATCTATAATACTATAAAAAATATCATGAGATTGATTTTTTTTTTTTTTTTTTTTTGGGTTTTTCGAGACAGGGTTTCTCTGTGTAGCTTTGCGCCTTTCCTGGAACTCGCTTTGGAGACCAGGCTGGCCTCGAACTCACAGAGATCCGCCTGGCTCTGCCTCCCGAGTGCTGGGATTAAAGGCGTGCGCCACCACCGCCCGGCCATGAGATTAATTTTTATATTCTGATCACTCCAAGGAAATTTGCAGAACTGGATTTTTACAATGCTAAGATTGGATCCTTAACCACTAATACCACTCAGCCCTAACACGGAACTTACTTTTTGGCAAGCGCTCTTCTCTCCTCGGGTGTGTAATCTAGAGAACCTATGGCTCCCTCTCCTTTAGTTGGCATAAAACCAATGATGGCCAGCAATGCTGTCCTTACTGAAACAGAAAATGAACATCAATTCAGTGAAAGGGGTAGGAGCTGGGTTGAGGTAAGAGGTGGGTTGGGGTTGGAGCTGGGGTAGGAACTGGGTTGGGGTAGGAGCTGGGTTGGGGTAGGAGCTGGGTTGGGATAGGAGGTGAGTTGGGGTAGGAACTGGGTTGGGATAGGAGGTGAGCTGGGGTAGGAGCTGGGGTAGGAGCTGGGTTGGGGTAGGAGGTGAGTTGGGGTAGGAGCTGAGGTAGGAACCAGCTCAGTAGTGTAAGCACAGGGACCCAGGCTTGGTCTCCAGCACCCATGCTCCCTGTGATTGTTTTAAGAAATAAAAAAGAGCAGGTAGACACAGCAGGGCACACTCTAACTGGTTCTAGGGGAGCAGAGACAGGGGGCTCCTTGGGGCTTGCTTGGTCAGCAAGTTTGACAAAATGTGCAAGCTCCGGGTTCAGAGAGACCTTGCCTCAAAAAATAGGGTAGAAGAGAATTACGGAAGACACCCCACAACAACTGCTGGCCTCCATACACATCTGCACACAATAAAAATTTTAAAGGGAACTAGATTTACTTGGAAAAAAAAAAAGATCTGAAGGTTTCAGAAAATCCAAGTGAGAGATTATTAAAGTACTGTACTAACCTAGACATGGAAAAGTATTTTTATTAATTTTCCAATGGTATCACATATTATCCAAAACATCTTTACTCTCAAAAGTGTATTATAATTCATTATTATGAACTGAATACAATGATGGAAGCGTATATTCACTAATACTCACTGCTCCATGAAGGCTGCCAGGTTTCAGGATGATGCCCTGAGATGCTCAGGCAGATCTTCTTGCCTACTTCAAATCGTCCATTAGCCTTAGAAAGAAAGAACACATTTTAAAAACTGCAAAAGTCTATCTAATGCCTTCTGCTTTCCAAGAATAAATAGATATATTTATATGTGAATAATAATTTTAAAGATAATATTTAAGAGAACTGAACTCTAATAAAGAGACACAGTTTTTTGTCCTCTTATAGACATACAAAAATATTTGTTAAATGCTGAATAAAAAATAAAGAGTGTTTTTTAGAGAGTGTATTAGCACCTTTCTGAGACTGAGCAGCATGATTGGAGTTTAAATAATTAGCATGTAAAGATTTACTGAAGCTATGCCCTGTGCCTACTACAGACCTAGGTTTTCATAAAGAGAAGACACGTAAGAGGTAAGAGGCCAAAGTCACTTGACTAATTGGAGAGGAGACTTTGAGACAGGAGCAGTTTTTCAGAAGGTTGATGCCATTTAATTAGATACAATGTGGTCAAGAAGAGCAGAGACCATGAATTACTACGAGTCACAGGAATGTAGTAAGAATTCACATGAATATGGTAAAGCTACACCTGGAAGAATCAGGGAATTCTTCCATAGGAACCCAAATCTCAAGGAGTATTTGGTGTTATTCGGCTTTTAATGTATCAGCTGTTTCCTGCTATGAATTTCTTGTGCGCTCTCATACCTTCCCCAGGAACGTCTAACAGTATATTTTATCTGATATACTTCTCTAGCATCCAAAGCCAAAAGCAGAAAGAACAAAGCATTTTTTAGACCAATTGCTGAGTCTCCTGAATTAATGTAAACACCCTTAAGGAGACACTGCCTGTCTCCCAGGTCTAGGAGACAGGTGAATTTAGGTGCATAGCTTTGTTTCTTAAGCAAATAAAGCTCAGACCCTCCTTCCTCTTAAAGCCCAAGCAGCATTCCAGAGTAACTAACTCAGAAAAGGGCTTTCTGCATACCAGGTGCAGTGCAGCTATGAGGCAGGTTTCCTAGCTCCCAGCAGAGTTACCCGGCCCTGCCAGTACACGGCAACATAGAAATAGAGAGGCAGTTACATTTTAGTGACTCACAGACTCTTTTACCTACCCACCTGTAAGATTGTAGTTTGAACACATTTATGATAGACTCGTAACATTTCACCTAACCACTTATAAGAATATATTTTGAGCACATAAATTCCCTTTCAGATTTGAAATTCCAGGCCTTATCTGACCCCATCTCCTCCATTCACTCCCCTTTTGGGTTGCAAATGAAGCTGACTCACTGCTCTTGTGGGGACCTTGGAAGCCTTACATTGTATTGTGAGAGTTACTGTTGGTGAGGGGGTAGACCAGTTCTGAACCAGAAGGAACCAAGATGGAGAAAAATGAAGATGAAGATGAGGATGAGGCAAAAAGAGCTTAGTCAGAACTAGGATAGGACAGGAGGAGAAGGGACAGGGAGGAGCTAAGCGTGAGAGCAGAACGGAAGCTGTGCAGACAGAATCTTATCGCAGAGGAATAAAGTGAATGGACTGTGGAACTCGGTGTACTTAAGAGTCATTCCCTCAGATTATTCTCGCTGTTGGTAGCATCTCTTCTGGACCCCTGGGAAAGAGACTGGGAGGGGGGTGGACCACAAAAGTTTCTGATAATGAACTGGTTTGGACATGGGTCTGACGGCTTGATAGGAAAGCTACCAATGACATCTAGCAGGAAGTTATTTCACACAGATAAAAAGCAGCAGCAATCCTGAGCAGGGGGAGCAGCCACAACACTGAGGAAGAAGGTGAGAAAGGAAAAGGCACTAAGGCAGAAGCAACACTGCACTGACCACTGAGGAGGGCAGGGCTGCTTTTCAGTGTGGTAAATCCAACTGATCCACTGGTTAACTACTGGTAAAGAGCTGTTGCCTACTGCGCATGCACATGCACACACATCCCCCATGTATACCAGCCCCTTTCTCCAGACTGCTTGTTTCTCCCAGCTCACTGAAATGAGTCCTGACACAGGAGCCTGGAGGGCTGCCCCGGCCTTCATGTCAACACCAACAATTAGCATAACAGCCAAAGCTTGTTGTGCAGCTTCTACAGGCCAGGAACTTAGGATGTAGCTGTATTTGCCATGAACAACATCCCATTAGACAGAAACAAAACTAAATTCCTAAGACAATACATAACCTACATGCGGTGATGTGGAAAGGGCTAGTCAGGACCCTGATCAGTGACCCTAAAACAAATGCCTTGTATTCTCCAGAGTACAGCTGCAGCTGCGCTAGTCTGCTGTCACGGATAACACCTCCTGTCACAGAGCGCTACCCTGTGAGTCAGATAAGAGGACTTAGATGGAACAGGATAAAGACTGAGAAGCCCTGGCAGTTCTCAGATAAGTAGAAAAAGAATGTTTCAACAGAGAACATTCCTGAAACTGGACTGCAATAGCCTACACAAGAGTAAAGTTATCAAAGAGAAAAACAGAGCAACAAAAAGGTCTGTGTGTGTGTGTGTGTGTGTGTGTGTGTGTGTGTGTGTTGCACTTTTCATGGTTAGGAGAGAATTAAACATGAGTGAGGGTAGGACAAACACACAAAGGTAGAAATTCTGAGATATAAACAGAAATAAAGTAACATTTATTAAGGTGTCCGTGGCAGGCCCCACTCTAAGAGCTATTACAGGATGCTGATCTTTCATTTCCATGTCAGATCAGTGAGACAGATATTATAGTTCGTTGCAAATACGAAGAAACTTATGAAGATGATGTGAGATGGATAGAAAATTGGAGAGGCTGTGACTCTGAGCTGTACTCACAGTAGCACCACACGCAGCATGCCTAGCACTCCTCACACATTAATTCACTGACTCCTAACAACTGTGCTGTGACATTTACGCATTCACTAGTATCACCAGTACTTCATAGATGCCAGCTTCCTCGGAATTATTCTGAGGAAAAAATCTGCACTTCTATGGCCCAGGCTCTGAAGGCAAAATTAGAACAATATTCTACTTTATTTCTTCTAAATATGCTGACTACATTTGCAGATGGCCGGAGAAGTTAATCTGCACGCACTGTCAAAACCAAGAGCTCTTACCGTTAGCAGAATAATGCTTGGTGGTTTCATGGGGTACTCAGGTGGGAGCACTATTCGTCCATGATAAACTCCTCCATCAAAATCGGAATCTGGGGGCCCTCTAACTGTGAAGTGCCATTCAAAAAGGTTATCCTAAACAAAAGCAAGAATCCACAGGATCAAGAACATTTAAACATTTTATCATTTTTATTAACAGTAACATTAAAAATGTCAGGCGAGGAGAATCAAACGCTTCCTAATAGTGCCAATAGTCTCTAAATGCTCAAAATGCCTCAAGTCATAAGTAAAAAGGTGTTATTTAATATAAATTTTTGCTTTATAAAAGTTAAAATATTTTTAAATCAAATATTTAATTTGATCTAAAATTTAAATTTAAAAATTAAAAATTTCTAAGTCCAATTATATATTCATAAGTAAGATTTATTTAATTAAATTGGAAATTAATGCCTCAAAAATATCAATTAGTGGAAATCGTCAAATCATTAGTATAAATTTGTCTTAACAAATCTTTAAAAAGTATTCTTCATTATGTATAACTGGTTAGTAATATTAACAGACCGGCTATACGTCATTATACAGTTACCAAGTTACTTTCCAAATTGCAAAGTTCTTACCCATCATATTATGTCCTGTCTATTAGCACGAAAACCTGACTATGCACAGTCAGCATCGTCCTTTCACAGACAGAGACAGAGGTAGAGATGCTTGTGTCAAAAGCCTAGGGTAGCTGCAGAGAGACAGTGCAGTGTGATGGGTTCTTTCTACTCCCCTCCCTCCACACTAAACCCTAAGTTAGCATCTGAAATGCACTCACAGAGTCCCTGGGTCAGGTTGCCTAAGGAGCCTGACGAAAGGCTAACAAAACACTCACACAACAGAATAAAGCAGATCAATAAATAAGCGAAACACATCAACAACTCAAAGCAATGGAAATGTAGTTCTGAGTCGTCTTAGACACTGAGTCCTGCAGTACTCTGGACAGAGACAGACACTAACCTCCAGAGGCTGAGCGTGGTAATGATCTGTTGGATCTTTCAATTCCGCTGCTTCTTTCATCAATCGCTTAACAGCTGAAAGGAAATCCATCAAATGGAGATATTTAAAACATGCTTTTCCAAGTCATCAGCACAGGCTAGTAAAAACCTTTCTAGCCAGGTGTGGTGGTGCACGCCTTTAATCCCAGCACTCAGGTGGCAGAGGCACGTGATCTCTGTGAGTTCGAGGCCAGCCTGGTCTACAGAGAGCAGACAGAAGAAAACAGAGGTCAGGTATCTGCCCTTGAAAGAAAATCAGGTAGTTTAAAAGCAAACAAATAGAAAGCAGATAGCTCTACAAATGGGTAGGAACAGGTAGAGGAGATAAAGTGAACCACACAAAGGAGAAGTTAGAGTGTGGTAGAACAGGCTAACAGGAAGCAACTCCCACACAAGAACCAGACCAATCTGGTGCTGCTTTCCACACTATTTCATTTGTGTCTAGGATTTTTTAAATCTAGGCTTTAAAAAAAAAGTTCCTAGCCAGGAGTGATGGCACACACCTGTAACCCCTGAACTCAGGAGGTCAAGACAGGGAGATTTCAAGGTTGAGGCTAGCCTGGGCCACACAGCAAGACTGTTTCAAACAACAAAAACTACATTCTTGAGTCACTGTTCTACTTCATAATTGTTAAGATTCTTTTCCATCACCTACTCTGAAGTAAATCCTTATAGTCAGGAATTTATCCATTTATCAAATACTTCAGATACTTACTAGGAGCTAAATGGAACAGCTACAATCTTCAAACTCTGGGTCATCAAGGAGCTCAGAGTTGGAAGGCAGTCAGTATTAACACCATGAAAACATCTGTATTACAACATACACATTTGACACAACCTCTCCCTCCAAATTCTAGACACTCAACTTTGGTCATTTATCAGACACACCCTGTGGTGGTATTTTACTTGTACTGAAATGTGATTTTAATTGTATGTTAATAAATAAAGTTGCCTGGGGGTCAGAGCTATTAGAGCCATAGCAAGTGCGTGGCGGCGGTGGCGCACGCCTTTAAGGACCTGGAGGGCGGTACATTCAGGCAGTGACGAGGCAGTCACATGTTTGGATTTACAACCAATGAGAAGGCAGAACAGAAAGACTATAAAGACATACACACAGGAAGTAGGTCCCTTTCGGAGAGCTCTCTTGGCTGAAGAGGATCGCTGAATCAGGAAGGGTGAGACTCTTAGCTCTGACCTCTTGGCTTTCTTTTCTGAATCGGCTCTGTGTTTCTTATTTAATAAGACGGTTGGTTACATCTACATTTGGAAAGATGGCTACCACACAAAGAATCTAGATTATGTTCTCTTTGATATTCGTAACTAAAGAAAAACATTTGATTACAAAAGCTGTTGAGTTATGCCAAAATGTATATTTTAAAGATACCTTGACTTCAAAATTTGGATGTAAGGATATGTTGCTTTGGGAAGGAGGCTCTGCTTTTGTTTCCACAGAAAGCCAGAGGCTATGGATTTGTTCCAGATTAAGACACATCAGGTTTGACCAGCCAAGACCACCTGAAAGGTCTCCGATGACACCATGGCCCAGATGATCCAACATCCAGAACCGTTTCAAGGCAACTGGCTCAGATGATACACCCTCATGGACTACTCCATAACCCTAAAATATTCTTTGTGTCCCCATAAGATACAGCGCCCCCCTCCAACAGGAAGTAGTAAGAGAAGCTACGCCCAAATTTCCAAATATACCAAGCTGATTTTAGAGATGTGTAAAGGTTAAAACCTTCCTTTTTAAGAAAAGAAAAGGGGAAGTGCTGTGGGATGGTCTGTATGTCAAATGTGTTGCTGATTGGTCAATGAATAAATCACTGATTGGTCAGTGGCCAGACAGGAAGTATAGGTGGGATTAACAGAGGAGAATTGAGAGAACAGGAAGCTGGGTGAGGGAGACACTGCCAGCCGCCATCAGGACAAGGAAGATGTAAAGTACCAGTAAGCCACAAGCCACGTGGCAAGGTATAGATTAATAGAAATGGATTAATTTAAGCTGTAAGAACAGTTAGCAAGAAGCCTGCCACGGCCATACAGTTTGTAACCAATATAAGTCTCTGTGTTTACTTGGTCGGGTCTGAGAGGCTGTGGGACTGGCGGGTGAGAGAGATTTGTCCTGACTGTGGGCCAGTCAGGAAAACTCAAGCTACAACACCCCACCTTCTCTCTACTCCAGGCCTCCTTATTAGTGTCTGCTCAGGTTGCACACTGTTCTGACACCCATCACCATCTAGACTGGCTCCCACATATAAGCAATGCCTTTTGTTATTGCTGTCTTGTTTCATTTTGGTTTTATTTTCTGAGACAGGGTCTCACTATGCAGCCTTGGCTGGCCTGGAACTCACGTGATCCACTTGCCTCTGCTTCCTGAGCGCTGGGACTAAAGGCATGCATCACCATGCCTGGCCCTTAAGTAATTTCTTCAGGAAGGTCCACTTGATACTTACCTGTCCTTCCTCAGAGGTACTAGAGATTCTACCTGGGCAAATCAAAGTGTCTGAGACAGGATAGAGACTAGGCATCCTCTTTAAATGATCCTAACAGCCAGTCGTGTTGGTTGTCATGATACTGTACCTGCAGCACCTGTTTAACCCCGTCTTTTCTGCTAAGTATTGCAAGGCTCTACTTCACTGTGGCCTCCTCAGAGCTTAGAACAGAAAGTATACAAACTGATGAATGCAAACTGTTAAAGTTTCCATCGTTTCTCTTCCAAAGAATCTGGAACCGTGACTGGTAATGTTTTTTTTAATGAACTTGACAAGACAAAATTCTTTATTCAAAGAAAAGCTTAATGGTATGAAAAATAAACAATACATATCCGTTTTGGTTGAAAAGGTCAGTGTGCAAAGGCCTCCCACCTAGAGGTCCATGGAGAGGGGCTCAAGGCTGGTAGGATGATTCATCAGATCTCAGTTCAAGCCCCAGGACTTCTGTAAAAAGCTAGTGGCAGTGGCATGCATGTTTGTAAACTCAGCACCACTGTGGTAAGCCAAGGTGGAGAAAGAAGAGCAGCTGGAAGCTTGCAGCCAACTAGAGCACACAGCAGGAACAGGAACAAGGAAGAGTCCACAGCAACAAGGTGGAAGCCGATCTGACACAGGACCTCCACACATTCACCCTGGCACATGCACGCCTGCACACACAGTAATAATAATAATAATAATAATAATAATAATAATAGTAATAGTAATAATAATAATAATAGTAATGTCTTAGTTAGGGTTCCTACTGCTGCAATGAAACACCATAACTAAAAAGCAAGTTGGAGAGGAAAGGGTTTATTCAACTTACACTTCCACATTGCTGTTCATCACCAAATTAAGTCAGGACAAGAACTCAAGCAGGGCAGGATCCAAGAGGCAGGAGTTGATGCAGAGGCAATGGAGAAGTGCAGCTTGCTCAGCCCACCTTCTTATAGAACCCAGGACCAGCAGCCCAGAGATAGCACCACCCACCATGGGCTGGGCCCTCCCCAACTGATCACTAGTTAAGAAAATGTCTTACAGCTGGGTCTTAAGAAGACATATTCGCCGGGCGGTGGTGGCGCACGCCTTTAATCCCAGCACTCGGGAGGCAGAGGCAGGCGGATCTCTGTGAGTTCGAGGCCAGCCTGGGCTACCAAGTGAGTTCCAGGAAAGGCACAAAGCTACTCAGAGAAACCCTGTCTCGAAAAAACAAAAAAAACAAAAAAAAAAAAAAAAAAAAAAAAGAAGACATATTCTCAGCCGGGCAGTGGTGGTGCATGCCTTTAATCCCAGCACTAGGGAGGTAGAGCCAGGCGAATCTTTGTGAGTTCGAGTCCAGCCTGGTCTACAAAGTGAGATCCAGGACAGGCTCCAAAGCTACACAGAGAAACCCTGTCTCGAAAAAAGAAAAAAAGAAAAAAAAAAAAAGAAGAAGACATTCTCAATTGAGGCTTCTTCCTCTCTATGACTCTAGTTTGTGTCAAGTTGACACAAAATCAGCCAGTATAAATATAATAATTTTTAAGGAAAAGGACTGAAGTCTTCTTGTATTACTTTTCCTGTTGCTGTAATAAAACACCCTGACAAAAGTAATTTAAAGAAGCATTTATCCTTGCTCACAAGGTACAGTTCTTCATGGTAAGGAAATCATGCAGGCAGTTGGGAGCATCATTTAGGCTGGCTGGTTACACTACATCACAGTCAGGAAAGAGAGAAAGGAGTGCTAGAACTCAGCTCATGTTTCCTTTTTATATCAATCCAGAGCTCGATCATGGAATGGTGCCTCCACAGATAACGTTAACCTAATCTATATAATCCCTCACAGGAAATGCTCAGAGATCCACCTCCAAGGTATTCCAGATACTGTCAGGCTGACAACCCAGTATTATGGTTAGTTTCAACTGTCAATTTGATGAGATACAGAATCACCTGGGAGATAACGCTCTGGTTATGATCACGAGAGATTACCTTGATCTGATTATTGAAGTGGAAAGACTCACCTACTGTGGGATGGCACCATTCCCTAAGCTAGGACCCTGGACTCTGTGTGTGTGTGTAGTGGAAAGTGAGTTGAACATAAGCACTCATTACTCTCTTTCTGCAGTTTGACTTTAGAGGCCATGTGACTACAGCCTCAAGATCGTTCAGCCAAGACTTCTACACTACAATGACTGTGAGCCAAAAATAACCCAGTCTCCCCACAGCTGCTTTTGTCAGAGCATTTGATCCCAGCAACAGAAAGTAATCAAGACAGAAAGTAATCACCACATTCCTGCTGTAAAGCTACATAAAACATTATTCCTAAGGAATCTACGGAGTGTCAAGGTACACAGTGCCGCCGCCGCCGACTAGGGCCAGGTAACTGGCCTGCCCCCCCTGACAGCCCCTCTCTTGCTTCAAGCCCTGCTCCTCTCTCTTTGCAAGATTATCCCCTAGAGCTCTCTGACTGGGGGGGACGACATCAGTCACGAGAGGGAATGGCGGCTGCTTTCCTGCTCTTAAGTCTTACTTTTACGGAGGCATTTGGTCTCTCTGGACCAAGACTTTAGGCTCCATGGGCCCCAGCATTTGCCCTCTTCTTTGCCCAGCTGGTTCACTGAACTTACACTAAATCTGGAACCAAAAACATACAAATAAAGGGATCTTTTATAGGCCAGTGTCTTCCAAACATCAATTTCTCTTGGAAAGTCCCTATCTTAATACCATCAGTTCCCAAGACGTGGTAAATTTCAGGAGGCAGGTATATTAAAAATGTGAACCCTAAATGATGCTCCCAACTGCCTGTTCTCAGAAAGAAGGCATGTTAGAAAAAGTTTCAGAACTAATGTTTTTGCTTACAAAAACTCTGCAAAGGCATTTACTTTAAAAAAATGTCTGAAGATGTGCCAGAGAGATGCTCAGTAGGTAAAGGCACTTGTCACGGACATGACAAGCCTGACAACATGAGTTTGATTTCGGAGTCCCACAGGAGCGGGGAGAGAACTGATTCCAGTGAGATGTCCGCTGATCTCCTTGAGTGTCGTGGTGCCTACACACACAAAGACACACACTAAATACATAAATGCTAAAACATATAGAGCTGGAGAGATGGCTCAGCAGCTGGGAGCACTGGCTGCTCTTCTAAGGATCCAGATTTGATTCCCAGCACCCACATGGAGGATCATAATCCAGTTCCAGCCGGTCAACTCCCTCTTCTGGCCTCAATGGGCACCAGGCACACACACCGTGTAGACATATTCGGGCAAAATATTCCTACACATAAAATTAAAATAATTTAAAAAATTAAAACAAAATACACTTGAAGAATGTCTGAATGGAGAGAGAAAAAGACTAACTTCCTGCCTCCACAAGCTTATAGCAATTAGAAGACTTGAAAAAAATTACAAGGCAATGACATACTGACTGGGTATGAGCTAAGTTTAAGGACTACGTAGCCCACCTAAGGAAGCCGAGAAGGCTAAACCTTCTAGAAGCTTGAAGTAATAGGAATTTCAGATGGATTAAATGGAAAGCATTCCAAACAGAGGATCCAACGGGGATGGAGACATAACAACTGGAGAGAGGTTCAGGGGAAAATGCATACGAGCCTAAGAGGCTCAAGTCCTGACCGACCTCATCCAGCAAACTGCTGTTACTGCTGTAATATTGGGGTACTGCTGAAACACCGTCAACTTGAGAAGTGATTAAGTTTGTGTTTTAACGGACCTAGTGACAACAGTGACACCTTCCACCCCAAGGGGTAGAGGTCAAGGAGCTAACCGAGAAACTGAAGCTGCCTCCAGTGTTGAGCATATCTCAGCGACAGACTAGTTTTGTTTTTATAGCTCAAGAGACTTTTTCAGTCTGTGGGAAATCTGTGAAAATGTTCAATCACTACAGTTCTATGCATACAATTGAGATGGGTCTGAGTGGAGTGAGAAGTCTGACTAGCGTGAGGATTCAGTGACACCAACAGTATGAACAGGTTCCTGGTAGAAATAGGATACCTCTACAAGCTGAGCAAAGTTACCATCTACACAACACAACATTTAACCTTTAACTGTATTGTCTTCGCTTAAATTTCCCATCCATCTCTCTGAGATAACCCAACCCCAGCAGATAGGAAATGAGATGTTTAAATTACTTCTTTCCCATAGTCATTAATCTACAAATAACAAAGGTTGGAGAAGGAAACAAAGCAAGCATTATCACCAGGCTTCTCAACATTTTAACAAATACTACAGTTCATCTAATTCACCTTCTCTATTATATCAAAATCATCTATACCAACAGGAAAGATTTTTTAAAACTTTCTTTTTAGAATACCATCATCTTTGAGGAAACCAAAAAGAGGATGTAATTTATAAAGAGATACAAAAGTCAACTGAAGCTCCACGTACTTTGGAAATTTATTAACTCGCTATGTAGACCAGGCTGGACCTCACAAAGATCTGCCTACCTCTGCCTCCCAAATGCTGGAATTAAAGGCACATACCACCATACCCAGCTAGAAATGTATTAATTTCTAAAGTTGCTTAAATTTTATCATAACCTCGAGTACAATAACCTATCAAGACTGAGCAATTTGGGGCTGAAGAGATGGCTCAGAGGTTAAGGCTGCTTTTCCAGAGGTCCTGAGTTCAATTCTCAGCACCTACAAACCAGTTCAAAACTGTCTGTGGCTCCAGTTCCAGGGGATCTGATACCCCCATAAAGACATACATGCAAGCAAAACACCAATGCACATTTAAAAAATAAATCAATAAATAAAGAAATTATTTAAAAAAAAAAAAAAGATTGAGCAATTTCCTGACAATGTTTCTCGAGGCACTGTTCTCTGGACATTCGCCCAAGTACCTCACCTCTGCTGATTTAGAGCAACCAAGTGACTAAGGAGTACTGTACAACTTACCACACAGTTTTATTTTTAAAGTCCAACTAATTCAACCATTCTGGCATCAAAATGGGAAAGCTTAAGCATTTCTACTTTCTCTGACTCTTTTTAACTCTTCAGGTTTTAAGTGATGGGATGAAGATAGAGAATGTGGTCCCATTAAAATTCAGCCGTGTAAATGTCATTCTTGAACAGGCATATGGCCAAATTTTACAGGAATCCCCTAAAACATGACAGACTCTACATTCGGTCCTTAAGGACACTTGCTTGTCAGTATTCAAGCTGACAACATTCTGTTCAATCAAAATCCTTGGGCTTTTCATTTCTGAATTTCTTTTCTAATCAAAGATTCACAACATCCCATACGGATGTTAGACTTAAAAGTCCAAACTAAGAAGCAGTGTAGGAAAGAAAAAAAAAATCAGCAAGATTTCTAGTTCAAGGATCATCAATACCCTGGGGTTTATTATTCAGAGCTGAGAGTTTCTTTTCCGACAAATTATCAAGGTACATTTAGAATAAATACTATGTATAGAATCCAGTAATTCGTGTCACGCTTGCCTTACTATTAGACAACTGATAATGTCGGTTGTTTTTTTTTGTTTGTTTGTTTTTTGTTTTGCATTGTTTTTAATGCACCAGAAAATAACTGGAGGCCGGGACCCCCTGGGACATAAAATGAAGGAAAGAAATTCTCTGCGTGAATTCGGACATATTAGCAGTCCACCCCACAAATCATGGTTAGTTCTCAAGTACACAGCACAACTAGTTTAGTTACGGGACATTCGCTTTCTGTCTCTAATCCTATTCGCCTCCAAATACTGAAATGGGATATTTCAACGACAGATTCCTCCAACGTGAGTCAAACACCTAACAAAAGTTGGTCGGCAGCGACGGAGGGGGTACTACGGATGCGGCAGCCAGGGGACGTTCAGTCCGACCCGCTGACGTCGCCTTTACACCTGCCCTTAAGGGGCTTGGCTGTCACCAGCTCCCCTCCGCAGAGCCTGGGAAGGAGAGGCCAGGAGCTAAGGGGCGACAGCAGCTCTGGGGATCCGCAGCGGCCGCCCCGCTCTGCGGCCTGCACCCCGGGACCGGCAGCGGCCTCGCGTAAAGCGCGAACCCGGAGCAGCCGCGAGAGCCGGCGGACGCGAGCCGGCCGAGGCGCCGCTCCGGGGCTCCAGGGCCCCCGCCCGCCCGCCCGCCGCCCGCCCCAGCCCCGCTCACCCGGGCTCTTCAGGTTGTAGCGGGTCTCCATGGCGGGCCTCCCGCTGCCGCTCCCGTCGGCGCCGCGGCTGCCCGGGTCTCGCGCGGCGGCCGCGCCTGGCGAGGGCCTCCGCTGACACCGCCCAGTCCGGCCCGACCGCGGGCGAGGCGCGAGGCCGCGGGGTCCGCCTCCCTGAGGGCAGGCCGGGCGCCGGGGCGTCGCCGAGCCGGGCGCCGGGCTGCGGACGGCCTGCGGGGCTGACGTCAGAGCCCACGCGCCGCCGCGTCACCGCCCGCGCCGGGTCTGTGAGGTCGGCCTGACGTGGCAGTCGCTTCGTGGCGGTGGCTCACTCGGCGGCGGCGGCGGCGGCTGGCCTCGCGAAGCTCGCCCGGGGGACCTGCGGAGGCGGGCGGCAGGCACCCTTGTCGTCCCCTCGGCCCAGCCCGGGAGGCCCTTCAGGGGTTCCTCCCCGGAGCTCGCGGGATGCCCGGAGGCATGGCGCGTCCCGAAGCGGCCGGCGGGCGGGCGGGCGGGCGGGCGGGCCGGCGTGGCCTGCGTCTCGGCGACTGCGACGTGCGCTTCTCCGAGCCCGCTGTTTGCCCTGGTGCGAGGGACCGGAGTGGGGACCGGAGTGGACTCGTGAACCAGTGGCCCCTTGCACCGCCGTGTGATCAGCCACGACACCGTCCTCGGTGTGCATCAGAACCTTCCCAGAATGAAAGCGAGTGGTCGCGTGGGGTTTTAGTAAAGGCGTGGAAATATGACAGGTCGGACTTCAAAGGCCACGGGGCGTGTGTCTTTGTGGAGTGTGTAGGACACAGAGAGAAAACAGAGTTCAGAAGGCTTAACGAGGAGAGGGGACCGCGGGACAGGAAAGGAGGGACCGAAGGACTGGGACCCAGGAGAGATTAGAGAGAAGGGTGGAGGAAGACAAGTGGACAGGCTAGTGTTATATAAAAACCTTGTTTGGTTTTTATATTGTCAGAGGTGTGTCTGTACGCGACATAGTGATTTGTCCCAGCAGACTGAAGTGGGAGGGGAAAAGCTACGTTTAAATGGCATCTTTTAAACCATTCAAAGGTGCTCTTTTCTGAATGGTAAACATCTGACGAAGAGTGAAGCAAACAAACCCGAACTCCCAGTGTGCTTCTTCATTAATCCTTCATTTTGTGTTCTTTGTTTTCTGCCCTCAAATTTAGCATCCAACGCCCTCCCCGTCTCTGCTCTGCAACCGACCTCATATCCATAGTCATTTCCCACCTGTCTCTGGGCGCACTCTCCCCTGGGGCTCCCCTTTTCTTCCAAACAGTAGAGAAGGATGTTTTCCCTTTTATTCTTGAAGCCACCATCACCGGGTCCTTCGGGGCCCTGGGGCCCTTCTGTACAAAACCGGCTCAGTAGAAATTATAGCCTCTCCTTTTTTAGCTAAAAAAAAAAAAAAAAAAAAAAAAAGCAGCAAAAAATCTGGCATTGAGTTATGGACACATGTCAAAGTTTAATTATAATCGCTGTAAGAGAAAAGCCAACTCGATTTGTTCTCTAAATTGAAACATGTACATGGTGGAATTATGTTGATAAAAAGAGTGATGCTAATTAAAAGTTACTAAATTCTTGACTGCTAACTGGATGGGAAGGGAATTAATTTTCCCAGAAAATTTAGATTTTTCAAAAGAATGCTTTGTTTTATCAGAAACGAATTTCTTCCTATAAGAAAGTTACAATTTGCCGGGCGGTGGTGGCACACGCCTTTAATCCCAGCACTTGGGAGGCAGAGCCAGGCGGATCTCTGTGAGTTCGAGGCCAGCCTGGGCTACCAAGTGAGTTCCAGGAAAGGCGCAAAGCTACACAGAGAAACCCTGTCTCGAAAAACCAAAAAAAAAAAAAAAAAAAGAAAGTTATAATTTATAGCAGACAAGAGATTCTATCCCAGGTTGAATTTGGAATAATTTTTACCTTATTCTTGGTAATAATCCCTTTTTTAAAACCCCTTGAAGCTGTCTCAGGAGCTACCACAATGATACAAGATGAAGTTCAGAACACTTCAGTCTTTTGTTTTGGTGGTGGTGATGGTATTTTGGTTTCACCACCACCACCACACACACACACACACAGGGTTTCTCTGTGTATCCCTGGCGGACACTTCAGAATCTTGACAACTATGAGCACCAATCCCTGTGTATTCCCTTTTTTCCCTAGAGAGCAACCAAAGCCCTTTGAATGTGGGTCCCTTACCCTCAACATTCACATCCTAGTCCAAGGTCTACTGTGTGTTGAATGCTTAATCAATTCATTTATTCATAAGTAACTCTTCATTTCTTCAGTGTGTTGACAATAACACATTACCTTTTAATGGGTGAAGAAAATTGAAGTCTTGAAATTAAGCACAGGAGAGCTAGGGCTAAAAAAAGAAAAGAAATTAAACATTTTATTAAGTTTTCTGTTTTATTCTGGTACATTACAAGGTATTATCCTATTGGTCTATTATTACTGTAATATGTGTATTATTATGGTCCAGGTGAAAAGTTACAGACCACACATACAAGGCCAATTTACAGCCCTTTATTTAAGTCAACGACTAAGAGCAAACTCTTGCCCCAAAGAAACTCATCACCAAAAGCTCAGGTTACAGCATGTCTAAAGAGAAACCATAAGTGATCTTGTCAGGAGTAGGTCAGGGAACCTGGTGGTATTTGTTTTGACTATATATTCAGCAGATATTTTGGTTATGCATCTGAGCCGTGGAAAGTCCCAAATATGCTGCCAAGGCGGACGTGACTGTACAGGTCTGGTAGGGGACTGACAAGGTGCCCCATCAGACACAAAATGGAGTTGGGGAATTCCGGTCAGGACAAAATGCTGTAATCTTAGTCACTTCACTCCTGGTTTCTTGTAGTTGCTTTTCAAATACTTGACTTTTATGAAGGAGCAGGTACTGAAAAACAGCCAGTTCATTAAGCAGGGCCCAGTCATTACCCCCAGGAGGAGGGGGATGTGGTACACACACACACACACACACACACACACACACACACACACGTGCAGACAAAATACATAAAATAAAACTGCCAAGAATTTTTGTTTTAAATTAGTAGTAGTAAAGACTACAGTCTAGCTGGGCAGTGGTGGCACACGCCTTTAAGTCCAGCACTCAGGAGGCAGAGACAGGCGGATCTCTGTGAGTTTGAGGCCAGCCTGGTCTAGAGTGAGTTCCAGAACAGCCAGAGCTGTTACACAGAGAAATCTTGTCATGAAAAGGCAAAAACAAACGAAAAAAGATTACAATCTGTATCTTCCTTTGTCTTGGTTCTTATGAACCAATGGCTGGGTTTGGCTTGAGTGCTCTCATCTTCTAAATTTGGCTCTAGAGGAAACACCTGCAGCTGAGATACAACTGTACTGTGTGATAGGGAGCAGACAGCGGGGGCACTTCTGTGTCTTCTGCCTTCTGATGCCTCTCATGCAGTGTCCCTCTGCACTCCGCCTGTGCCCCTTTCCTCTCGTCCCTCCCTGTCACTCCATTCTCTTACTCCCCCATCCCCAGCCAGCCAGCTGCTGATTGAGGGAGCTTGGTAGTCTTCATACCAACTTGACTAGCTGAAAACGCTGTCCCCGCCTCGGCAGATGGGTCACTTTGCTACTTACTAGGAAGCTATAACAGTAAATGGCTGAGTTCAATACTTTTAAGCAGATTTTTATTTTTCACTGTAATAGCCACAAACTTAAAAAAATAGTTCATAAATACATGGTGCATTCTTCACTCTGCAGACAAAGGTCAGCACATACAGGAATTATGGAACTTCTGAAAGCACTTCTGTGCCCTGGCATTCTGGGCTATAATTACCAGTCTCTTCAGCACACTCGTGAAAATGCTATACTGCTTTCCCTCGAAACTCAATTTACAATATAGGCAAAGTTTGACAGCCTAATCCTGGCTTCTGCACAGCAGCCTGGCCTTCCCCACAGCTCACTCTCAGCACTCAACACCCAAGAGTGCCACCATCTGCCTAGCTTCCAGTGTCCTGTGAGAAAATACTGGCACCAATTTTACTTCCCCTGAGTCTTGAAGGAGAGTTTAGGTGCAGATATTTGCAAACAGTAATATTAGCCATATGTGGCAGAGTAGGAAGTAGAACTTTTGGACTTTCAATCTGTTGATTTTGAATAAAATACTGTTCAGGAAGACATGTCTTTTAAAATCCTGAAATGGTAGCAATTTTCTGTTATAAAAATCACCCACCTCAGATAGGTAGAGACAAAGACATGTTAATTAATCATTGCTGAGGGAGTGAGCTTGGGGAACATTCAATAGGAGTCATTATTAGAAGTAATCATTAAGTAAAGAAACAGTAACTGGGTGGTGGGGGCTGCAGGTCTTTAATCCCAGCATTTGGGAGGCAGGGGCAGGTGGATCTCTGTGACTTCAAGGCCAGCCTGGTCTACAGAGTGAGTTCCAGAGTTCCAGGACAGCCAGGGTTGTTACATAGAGAAACCTTGTCTCAATACGAGAGAGAAAGAGAGAGAGAGAGAGAGAGAGAGAGAGAGAGAGAGAGAGAGAGAGAGAGAGAGAGAGAGGGAGGGGGGAGGGAGAGGGAGAGGGAGGGAGGGAGGAGGAAGAAGAAAGAGAGAAAGAAAGAAAAGAAAGAAAGAAAGAAAAGAGAAAATAGAGGTATTTATTTGTGGAGATCACTATAGTATGCAGAGGAAAATAGTCTCCCGGGCTGAGGGCACCCTAATGATAGAGCACTTGCCCGGGCTGAGGGCACCCTAACGATAGAGCACTTGCCCGCTGCAGCAGCATCCCGGGGTAGATCCCAGCACTAGGAAAAACAAAAGCAACCCGATCCCAAGTCAAGCATGGCTGTACACATCTGTAGTTCCAGCACTCTGGGATGCTGAGGGGAAGACTGCAAGCTCCAGACCGCCTGTCTGAAACAACAAATCAGTCTTCAAATTCAGTAAAACCTCCTGACAATAACACACTACATTTACAGTGTGTATGGTCTTAAACACCAAGAAGACTGTTAGATCATTGCAAATGTTCTGATGATGATAAAGAACCAGAAAGTGCAGTGAAGAATTGAATGGAATTGTGAGGAAGAGACAATTCATCTAAACAACATTTTATATAATTTGTGATACAAATGCAAAGATTTAAATATACAATTTAAATGGACTTTATATCATTTACATGAATCACAGTGTACAGTATTTTAAACAATATAGTTGGTTGGTTTTTTTTTTAAGTTTTCTGCATGTAGGTACATGCACCATGTGCATGCAGTGCCTATGGAGGCCAGAAGAGAGCATCAGATTCCTTAGAACTTGAGTTAAATAATTTTTCAAAACTCGTAATCAAGTTGGAAGACACATGATATATACATATATATATATATTTATATATGCACACGTATGAATATATGAATGGATGTGCATGGAGGATTCAAGAAAGCTTCCCTGGGGGATTATAATCTTCATCCACCACAATCTCCCCTCCCTAGCTCTGTAACAACTACGTGGAAAACAAGGTCTCCCAATTATAAGGATTACTTAAGAGTGTATATTTAAAATACAAATCTCTAGCTTTCCACAATTTTGATTCAGGAAGAATGAGTTAGGGGTGGGAATCTGTCACATTAAACATCCTAGGAAATGGTTAAGGCCTAGACAATGAAATCAGACAGGACTTTGTGGGCTATAGTGATTGTTCCTCACACACTGAGCCCCAGGTAAGCCCCTTTCCCACTAGATGGACAGACAGAGGTCTCTCCAGGTGAGTCACATCTCTGCACTGCTTTGCAGGGAGGGGAAGCAGAGCCTAATTACCACCTTACTAAAGGTCCAGAATCACCACCCACTTATGGGCTGTCTCATTGAAGAGGGTTGAGACCCTGGAGCTCATCTTCCCACAGTGTTGGAAAGGAAACCACAGGCAGCCTGGGAAGGTTAGTTTGGGGTGGAGGTCTGATTGTCCTGCTGTGGTTGATCAACTCCAGAAGAGCCCCCACCCCCCATTACTAAAAAGTCTATTCATTTTATGATTCTGTTTAGAGAAATTAGAATAATTCATCTGCCCCAGGAGCAGGATGGCCAGGGGCTCAGGCAGCGAGAGAGACGTTAATGGCTCTACCTTCAGTGTGGCAGCTCAGCCATCTGCCACGGGAAGCCAATCTTGCTGGGTCTTGGGGGTATCGAAGTAGCACCAAAGGGCAAACTCATGGATTCTCAATCCTGGAAAAGATCAAGGTCATCAGAAGTAACAGAGAGCCTCAGACATCAGATATGCCTTCATGAGCCAGTAAAGTCACAGTACGGCTCATGGTCAAGAATAGTTCTACAGGGGCTGGAGAGATGGCTCAGAGGTTAAGAGCAGTGTTTGTTCTTCCAGAGGTCCTGAGTTCAATTCCCAGTAATCACATGGTGGCTCACAACCTTCTGTAATGAGATATGGTGACCTCTTCTGGCCTGCAGGCATATATACAGGCAGAACACTGTATACATAATAAATAAATAAGTAAAAATTTAAAAAAAGAATAGTTCTACTACCCTAACAAGCATGTTCCAGATTTGGAAATGTGGTGTGCCGAGGGCTCCAAAGGGCTGGAGCACTTGTCAGCTACGTGTGAGGAGGCCCTAGGCTGGAGCACTTGTCAGCTACATGTGAGGAGGCCCTAGGCTGGACTGATGCTGAAGGAAAATGGGGTTAAATGAAAGGATAAATGAAAACTGGGCATACACCTTTTATTCCAGCACTCAGAGGACAGAAGCAGGCAAACCTCAGAGTTTGAGGACAGCCTCGTCTACATTGTTCCAAGGACAGCCAGGGCTATATAGTGAGACCATGTCTCAAAATAATAATAACAATAATAATATAGTAGCTCAATTTACGAAATTATTTACCTTCATTTGCATAAAATTAGAACTGAGTAATCAAGAGAGGTTTTGCTGAACAGTCAAGGCTGGTTACACCAGCCTGTGGCCCAGCTGCAGAGGGGCCGAGGCAGAAGGATCAGTGCACCCAGAGGTTCAAGACCAGCTTGAGTAACATAGAGACTCCACCTCAAAAGGCTGTTTTTTTTTTTTTCTTACTTTTTATTAAATGGATCTAACATAACCAATAAAACAGTGCTTATATATATGTATGTATACAAATATGTGTGTATATATGTGCTATACACATATATATGATAAATATCATCTTAAATATGAAAGACCATACTACTTTCAACAAGAGACTGTTCTGCTCCCAGAAAACTAAGCTGTAAGTCTGTTACCAAGTCATCAGCATGCAAACATGCTTTTAGGTTGGTAGCTGACATCCCTGAAGAGTGGGCTAGCAGTGGTTATAAATGACGCACTATCAACAGTGAAACACACAGTGTGCTTCATTACAAACTACGCCAGTCTGTTTGTTGAGTGCATACTGTATTTTAATCATCACCACAGCCCCACTGTTTTCATGAACTCTGTGTCAAAGCGAGTTGGCATACAGCCCATACATAATAGTATTGCTGTGGCTTCTAGTCATTTCGTATTTAAGGATCCAAAATATATTGTGTTCACAAAATAACACTTGGTAAATATTTATCAGCTTTGATTTATACTCCTTTGAAAACACTCCATCCTGGTCACTCACGCTAATCTCCATGACTACAGTTAGCAAAGACGGTGTGAGTCAGTCTGGCCACTACACAGAAGTACTTGACTCCAAAAGCAAAAAAGGCTGCCCGGCTCTACAAATCTTCACGTTCTCAACTCCTAAAACAAACAAAAATGTTCTAGTGCAGCCACTGTAGCCAGAAGTTTGACCTTTCTGTTTATGGTCACACTTGAGCATAAACACACAGCTACACAATGCATTAAGCTAACTCCCGAATCTAAGATAAAATACAAAACGAATGTGAAGATACATTGCAGTTCTAGTCACAGACTTGAAAACCTCACCATTCAGATGTAACTCCTGCGTCTTTGGAGGTCATTGTCACACGAGGCTTGAGGGAGTAGTCAGTATTAGCATATGAGTCACTACAGAGTGCATTTATGATCAGGAACGTGGGCCCTAGGTCATAGGATTGTTTCTGCCTATCCCCCAAAGAATCGCATGCTCTTGAAGTGATAGGCTTTTAAGGCACATTTCAACAAAAAACCATTATATAACCAGCTTAAAGATGGAAGCTCCACGTCTACCTGGTAGTTTTATGTGGTTTACCAGATAGGCAAGTGTCGTATCTTGAAAATAAAGTCTTATTAAAAACTCGATTCTCTGTCTGTTCAAAGAGAAATACTTTGTAAAAACTATTAAGAAAAGGAGCCAGGATACTAGCTTAGTAGAGAGCTGCCCAACATGCATGAAGCCCTGGATTCAATCCTCAGCACTGTACAAACCAAGCGTGCTGGCGCATCCCCGTAATCCCAGTACTTCAGGGAAGTGGAGGCAGGAGGATCAGAAGTTGGAGATCGTCCTTGGCCAGCCTGGGTTACCTCAGACCTTGTCTCAAAAGAGCAAACAAACTGTTCTCTCTCTCTCTCTCTCTCTCTCTCTCTCTCTCTCTCTGGTGTGTGTGGGATTAGACTCTTAAGAGCAGCCCACCTCCATCCAGCCTGTTGGCAAAGGCCCGTGAGGGAATAGCTCTGAAAATTAAGGAGAACAGAAACTTCTCTGGGACTCCAGACTCCTAACAACTCATTTGGGTCTCTGCACAGGGATTGTAAGGAAGGAGCCATGATGCCTTAATGATTACTAGAAACCTCCTTAAGACGGCACAGACTACTGGAGGGCTCAGATCACAGCTTCAGTCACCCATCTCATTTCAGTTACCAGCTTCAGAAGACCTGCCATGGCAAGGTGGCGCATACCTTCGATCCCAGCACTTGGGGGAAACAGAGACTTGAGACATGTGGATTTCTGAGTCTGACCAAGGACAGCCTGGTCTACATAGTGAGTTCCAGGACAGCCAGAGCTATAGAGACCCTGTCTCAAACAAAACACAGACATCCCAAAAACAAACACAGACAGACTTGGGGAAGGGGAAGCACGAAGATGGAAGATGACACTTAAAAGTGGGATTGGTGGGGCGGCAGTGGCGCACGCCTTTAATCCCAGCACTCGGAAGGCAGAGGCAGGCAAATCTCTGAGTTCAAGGTCAGCCTGGTCTACGCAGTGAGTTCCAGGATAGCCAAGACAGTTACATAGAGAAACCCTGTTTCGGAAAAAAAAAAAGGAAATGGGCTTCAGGGACAAGTTGCAAGAGCAGCTCTGATGTCCCCAGGAGACTCTGCTTTAAAAAGACCTTTTCTAGCGCCATGCACACCCGGCAGTGCTAACCTTTGGAATGGCTGGGTGCAGGGCTAGATTTAGGACTCTCAATTCCCTGCTCATCTAAAATAAAAAAAAAACAAAAACAAAACAAAACCACGGCTAACTTCTACCTTAGGCTGTCCTTTCCCACTGGCCACAAGCTTTCCTGCCTTCCGTCCTGCGGAGCAAGTTAGTAGTAAGCTGAACTTGGCAGGAGCAGGTGGAGGACATGAGGCATATTGTCACAGATGAAGTGGGATTCAGGTAACCAACGGAGCCACCAAGGACTAAACTGGATTGTGGAGACCAAAGATCTGCTCTACGCCGGTGGCCACGGAGCATCAACAACTGGTCCTGAGCAAAGACTTTAAACACAGCACAACACCAGGCCACTCACAGGAGCCAAATAAAACACAAGTACCAAGTGCATTTAGTCTGAGTGGCCATCTGCCTACATCCTGGGCAGGTACAGAAGGACCTCCAGAATTTGCCCCCCAACAAATCCATGCTATTTTTCCCTGTCTCCTCTAACAACATTCATAGTTCTTTATACTGACTGGCATCATTTTAGAAATCTGGTCCCAAAGGTTCATTAGAATAATACAGCGAAAAGAAATCACCTAGCTGAAGAAAGTGACTTCAAAGATGTGTGTTGAGGTAAAGAGCTTCCTAAAGACGGGTGAGTCGGGAGGCATGGCCACAGGGGTACAAACTTAGATGTAAGCCTGGTACTAACGTTTTCCTACAAAATTCCCATTTCCTACAAAACTCATTACAAACAGGAGAAGTTCTTATTGCTCCCAGCCCTGACCCACTCCTGCTGCACTGAGAAATGATTTCCCCCTCGATAATTGGTAGCAAAGATTCCCCAGTTTACAAAAAGTCATTAACAGTGTGTTACTTTGGATTAATTTCCGACTGCTACATGGACTACAGTATGCACGTCCTTGACACCATGTACAGAAAAGTTTAGAAAAGTCATCTTATCAAAGTTAACCTCAACAAGAAAAAAAAAACATGAAAAAAGTGCAAAATATGTACAGTTCCTGGCAGTTCTCACACGGGATTTTTCTATCGACATAAACGTTTACATTTACATAATGAAAGTACAGTGGGGTTCACTTTATTGTTATTGTACAGGTTTCTGCTTCGAAGTGCTTATTTTGTTTTAAAAAGAGAGTATTTTTTTTCCTTAACAAATCTCTGTCAGTGTCCCAGGCTCCTCCTTCCTTCCTGTAGTGCCGTGTGGCACCCTCATCGCACACGCATGCGTGGGTCCCGGCTCCCCTACAGCAGTACTCTAGGGGTCCCGTTGGGAGTAGTCCCTTTCTTCTTCTGCAACCGATTCTGGGCTTTCCGAGATTTCACCATTTTCATCCTCACCTCAAAAACTTCATGGATGGCCTTCCGGAAGCAGTGAAAATTATAGTCAATGAGGCCTGCAGGAGAAGACAGAAACACTTTTAAATGCACGCACGAGAAACAATCTGTCATTCCTGTCATCCGTGGCCAGTAGGGGGCAGCAGAGGTGCAGCCATCATGTAACAGGCCTAGGTCTCAGGAATGGTAGGTGCTCTTGCTGAAGACTATTCCAGAAGCTTCCAGAGGATTTGCCACATTTCCAAAGGTGTCTGTGCCCCCAAAAGATCTGAAAAACCACTAAACTGCACTAACTGCATCATTCAGATTAAAGACTAGTTGTAATTAAGATAAATCAGGGGCTGTCAAGACGGCTCATTAGGTGTGTTTGCCCTGCAAGCCTGAATGACCTAAATTCCACCCCCAAACACAATGAAGGTGGAAAGGGAGAACCAACTCCACACACTCTATAATAGAATAGCAATTTTTTATTATTATTTTCAAAAAGGGCTGGCTTCACAAGCCTGACAACCAGTGTTACATAGTGAAACCCTGTCTCAAAAATAACTAAATAAATAAGGTAGGGAAACAATAGAAAAAGACACCTCCAAACACATATGCATACACACACATTAAATATGAGCTGAGGGGCCAGGTGTTGGTGGCGTATGTGATCCCAGCACTCGGGAGGCAGAGGCAGGCAGAACTTCGAGGTCAAGGCCAGTCTGGTCTACAGAGTAAATTCCAGGATAGCCTGTCTTGCTGAAACTTTACACATGCCCATTTCCCTACATTCTTTAGTTATAACATAATTAAACTCAACAGCTAGGTTGCTAGTTAGTTTACTATATGCTACAAAACCTGCCTGTCATCAGAGATTGTGGTTTCGTAATAATTTACCAAAGATCTCTATGAACAATTCCTACTTGAACTTAGTTGCACACAGCCAGATGTTAAAATGAATGGCAGAGGCTGAAAGTGCAGCTGGATTTGTGCAGCGTGAAGCATTTAATCTTAGAAACGTTGTAGTGGAAACCCTGATACGACTTTTATTAGAGATTCCCCGGGAACAGACAGAAAACATGCACTATCCGAGCGGGAAGGACACGGTGGCATTTCTGTGTGGGACGCTTGTCAGTGTGCACAAGCTCGTTCCAGCTGGAAACTGCAAGACTGTCAGTTCCCAGGTCAAATGTTGTCAAAGGGAGCTCGAAGATTATTTACTACTTTTGCAACTTTTCAGTTAATTATAAAATTGGTTCAAAATAAACAAGTTCTCTAGCCTAGCGCAAATGTTCCTAAACTTTAGAACCGGCTGCCCACTGAAGTTATACATCTGTGTGGTCCTTGTTTCCCTTAGCTTCCAAAATCCACAGGAAATAAATACCAAGCAACAGTAAATGTGGGAAGAGATGCAGAATGTGAATGTGTGTGTGTATGCACACACCTAGCTCTACACGTCAAAGAGCCTAAGTCCACATCTTTTTTTTTTTTAAGTAGATTACAATTTAGTTACAACATTTCTCCCCTTTTCTTCCTCCTTGTTCTCCCTCAAATTCATGGCCACTTTTGTCACTAATTGTTACTTCATGTATATATGTATATACATGTATGTTCCCAAACATACCCTGCTCTGCTCTCTCCATATATGGCCACCTGTATGTTTATTTTCAGGGCCGATCATTTGGCATTGGACAACCAACTGGTGTGCTCGTCCCTGGGGAGGACCACCTCTCCTGCTCCCTAGCTAGCCCTCTATAGCCCCGACACAAGCTGGTGCTGTCAGATTTCAACAACGCCACTTACATTTTTTGGGTCTGAGTAAAATCTCCTGTACAGTGAGCGAGAAGAACGAAGTACAGGCCCTGTCTATCTTCATTTGTTGACAGGGGATGCTCAGTCAGTACTGGGACTGAACCTACAGCACCACACATGAGAGGCAAGCCTCTACCACCGTGTACTGGCTGAGTCCTGCTGCCTATCTTCCCAAAGGAAGCCCATAACCTAATAGATAAGCTGTTACTTCTGCCAGCAGATGGAAATAAGGAACAAAAGATGAACACCCTTCAGAGTTTTGAGAACAAATGACACAGAAGTCATTGGAAGCCACACAGCCTCAGGGGTGGACATGGAAATTTAAATGAAAAGCAACTTCCTGAAACAGTAAAATTCAGGATTGATAAGGATAGGGCAAACTGGGCATATTAACCATAGAGTCTGAAAGATATTTTGTTAATAGTCACTGGAAGCCACCAAAACAGGCCTAGCCTTTTGAGCTGAGGAATCCCACCGGTGCTGTTGGTGGAGTGGGGGCGGGGAGCAAGTGCCCACAGGATGCTCCCTGGGCACGCTGGTCTGCCAGTATAGCCAAAAGGTGAGTTTCAGCTTCAGTGAGGGACTCACTGAGCTTCAGTGAGGAACTCTGTCTCAAGGGCATAAGGCAGAGTGACAGAGGAAAACACCTGGCCTCTGTCCGCTCTTGGGCATCCACACATATGGATGCCCACAAAGACACCACATACTATACATGCATACACCACACCTAACACATGCAAATACCACATATACCACACGAATACACCACATACAACACACACATACACCACACATATATACAACATATACCACACAAATACACTACATACACCACACATATATACCACATATACCACACGAATACACCACATACAACACACACATACACCACACATATATACCACATATACCACACGAATACACCACATACAACACACACATACAACACACATATATACCACATATACCACACGAATACAGCGCATACAACACACACATACACCACACATATATACCACATATACCACACGAATACACCACATACAACACACATACACCACACATATATACCACATATACCACACGAATACACCACATACACCACACATACACCACACATATATACCACATATACCACACGAATACACCACATACAACACACACATACACCACACATATATACCATACGAATACAGCGCATACAACACACATATACACTACAGAGAGAACACAAACTGGCTTTGTTACAGTGAAACCATCCCAACAGTGCAGCCAGTTTTGTTGAGAATGAAGGGATAAAGTAAAGAGAGGGAAAAAAAATCTCAGAAATGTAACACGAGGCTTAGCTCGGATACAAAGTTTCATCTTGTTCCTTATATTTTCCTTAATTTTGGAACAAGTTTATCATGAGCACTCATCGCTCACAGGACAGCAGAAGCTGCTGCAGCAGCGGCTGTAACCACTCGCGTTTCCTGGCTCGCCTTTGCGACGTTTAGCTCTGCATTCTGTACCATAGGAGATCAAGCCCAGGCCTCTGAGCAGATGGACAAGCTCTGAGCCACCCACAGCACTGTTAGCAGTCGTAAACTACACCCTAGCTACACGGCCCTAGCCACGCTGGCATCATTGAAAAGTTTTCAAAAATCAGTTAATTGTTTTACTTAAACTATACACACATACCCCTCACCAACTGAACTTGACCCTTACAAGTCACGTTTAGAGCAGTATTGGTCATTCCTTCACTGTGTGCATCATGACACCATCCCTGCCATTTGAACACCAAGCAGACAAATGCCATCTACCTCTGTAATGGGGAGAGCGACGGTCACATGGTTTACCAAACACCTAGCACTGTGGCCCAGGGACAGGCCCCGTCTGCAACACAGGCGAAGAAACCCTTTCCTGGTGCAACAGCCTGGCAAAGTAACAGCTGAGGCCCATGGAGGATCTGGTTCCGTTTCCACCTTATCCCTCTCGGCTGCACACCGGGGCCAGGCACACCGGGGCCAGGCACACCGGGGCCAGGCAGGTCCAGACGCCAGCTCCATCATGCAGGCTCGCCTCGGCCAAGGAACTAAAGCCTAGAGGCTTTGCGGGCATGCCGTGTCTACACACATCCACCGGGCAACAGAGGCAGCATGAACCGAGGCAGTCCTTTGAAATCACACCGAAAGTTACCTTTTCTCTCAAAGCTTTCCTCTCTGACAAAGCAAACGAGCGCCAAGAACTTTGTCACCTCTTTTAGATAAAGGACTGTTGTGTTATTCAGCTTTATAATGGCTGTGGACTCCTTGTCATACGGGGCTCCTGCTCCATCTTCTTTGAGACTAAACGGAGACAGAAACCAGAATGTATTTGACCTTCAAGAAAGAACTCCAAATCGCAACCCAGCGACAGACCCCCACACAGAAAACTATCCCCCGAGTAGGCTGTGTGTGCTTGGAGTGCCTTTGGGTAGAAGACCTCGGCAGCCCAGGCGCGGGAGGCGTAGCGGCTCTCACAGTCACTCCCTTACCAACACAGTGAGTGGGTACTGCGGCAGCTGGGCACCTCTCTAGGTGCCTGAGGAACAGGAGCGGAGGTAGAGGAGAGCCCTCGTGCCTCTGCAGCCAAAGGCATCTTGTTTGTACATACAGGAGAACAGTTAGGCTGCCAGAAGCAAAGGCAAAGACTTCCAAAGAGAGTCCAAACAGACCGGACAGAAAAATGCAGGGCTTGACTTGGGCCAGGGGAAAAAACTGCTAGAAAACAGAATTAACAAGCTGTGGATAAGCCGGGCAGTGGTGGCGCAAGCCTTTAATCCCAGCTCTTGGGAGGCAGAGGCTGGTGGATGGATCTTTGTGAGTTTGAAGCCAGTCTGGTCTACATAATGAGTTCCAGGACAGTCAGAGCTACACAGAGAAACCCTGTCTCAAAAGAAAAAACAACAACAAAAAACCCCAAAACAAACAAAAAAAAAGAGGCTGTGGATGTCGGTCAGTGATAGCACCCTTGTCTAGCATAGGTGAGTCCCTGGGCTTTGGCTTTAAGTTAAGATCTAAGGCAGGCTTCCAACGGGTCAGGCAAGCGCCCTCTCACTGAGCTCGAATCCCTGATCCCAAGCTAGATTATTTTTTATGCTTGTCATAAGTAGGTATTGCTCTTACCACCACAACAAAGTAATACAGCACACAAAATGGAAGAACCAAAAAAATTACAAGAAGAAATTGGTGAAGTTTTGCAACTGAAATTGTTGTACAGTTCACTTTATCATCTACAAGCAAGGAAAACATGTGAAGGTGGAATACGTGTGAGTGTGTGTGAGTGTGTGTGTGTGTGTACACATGCATGTGAGTGTGTATGTTGGTGTGTGTGTTTATGTGTGTGTCGAGCTGCTAACTATGCAGAGCCTCAGCTGAGAAAGTCCTGTGGTCTCTAGTAGGCAGCTGAGAAAGTGCAGTAAGACCTCCTGTCCCCAGGCCACCTGCTTCCTGGGCTGCCCACAAGGGCCCTAGCCTCTACCCACATTCCAGCTCCCACTTTGCTGGTGACTGAGCTGGCTCACAGATGCTCCAGTAAACTGAGTGTCTTAGGGTGACTACTGCTGTGACGAAACACCAGGACCAAACAACTTGGGGAGGAAAGGGTTTTTTTGGCTTACACTTCCGTATCATTGACCATCAACGAAAGAAGTCGGGACAGGAACTCAAACAGGGCAGGAACCTGGAAGCAGGAGCTGATGCAGAAGACATAGAGGGGTGTGGCTTACTGGCGTGCTCCCCATGGCTTGCTCAGCCTGCTTTCTTAGAACCTAGGACCACTAACCCAGGGATGGCACCCCCACAATGGGCTAGACCCTCCCACATCAATCACTAATTAAGAAAATGCCTTTCAGGCTTGCCTACAGTCAATCTTATGGAGGTATTTTTCTCAATTGAGGCTCCCTCTTCTCTGCTGACTCCAGCTTGAGTCAAGTTGACATAAAACTAGCAAGCATACTGAGGAAACTCTAGAACCCACAACCCACTGTGATCCAAACAGTTCTTACTGGATCCGGTGGGTTCTCAGAACACCAGCACTCTACTACAGAAAAGCCATCTCTGGCAAAGTCCAACCCCCTCTCTCCTCCTGTTTGCTTTAGCTGGTGAAAGTTCCTCTGATTAACATCATTTACCCAAACAACTCGCCACTTACGTCTAATTACCATATGGCACAATAATGAAATGCCTATCATTAACTATGTGCCAGATATTTGTGCTGTTCACTGTACCTGATTGCCACAGCAACTGAGACTGTGATCGGACTCACTCAGCTTCCAGGCCTCATTCAAGGTCATCCATTTACTGCTTTAAAATAAGAGACTGCCACAGGGTCCTAACCATGAGGAAGGTCTACTTGTAAAGCTAGATGTCCTTGTCTGATGCAAAAATAAATTATGGCAAGTACAATTTATCTAGGCTCTATCAGGGCAGGAACAGTGTGAGCCTACTAACAGTGTTTTCATTCTCACCGCAGTCTTGGGGGTCAGCATGTCACGTGGACACATGACATGCTGACATGTGCATGAATGTATATGCGACAGAGGTAACAGAAAGTCTCACAGGATGGGCAAAGAATTTTCAGATGGTGGAAGACAGGAGCAGCTAAGCCTGAAACTTCTAGAAGCCCACAGAGCAGGCTGAATGTCAGGTGGTGTGAGGCAGAGAAGAGCAGGAGGAACGCAAGGTCTGAGAGAGCAGCTAGCCACGTGCTGACAACCTCAGACAACAGCTCGCTCACACTCCAACTGTACAAACGTGCACGGCAGACTCCCAAGCATGGTGATTGCTTCCGTCTTTAGTAATACAACTTTCTCCGCTCTCGAATATTATTTTAAGCATATAGGAAGCTTGGGTTTCTATGATGTTAAAGCCATAATAAAAACTAGTAGATGTCATTTGCCCAGTATTATAATTCTCCACTACCCAGACAATCAAAATCAAATTTTTAAAAATACCGAGGCGGTATTTTCTGTAACAGGATAATGGAAATGTTCTCAACAGCTTGTGGGTTTATTTTAACCCATGGGGTGCACTGGGTGGACAGGTTTTCCAGCATCAGATCATGATCATTTAGACCAGGGTTCAAAGTCTGCTCTTTTCCTGCTGACAGTAGATCAGCTGCTAGAAATTTCACCGTTCTAAAGTTCATTTCTGCATTTGTAAAACAATTCCTGCCTCATGGAACAGCTGAGAATTAAATTAGATGTGCAACAAAGTTTTAATCATATAAGGCATTTGCTCAACAATTACCTGTTTTTTCTGGCATGTTAAGTGTTCTATTTCTAGATCCCAGTCACTTAAAACAAAAGTACAAAAGTCAAGTGAGTAAATGCAAAGATGTCCAGAAACTGTGAAAGGGAAGGTGGGGAGGTGGTCTTCCCTCCCTCCTCCTCCTCCTCCTCCTCCCTTTTCTGCATCGCTGAGGGCTGATCTCAGGACTTGTTTCATAACTAAGCTGCATCTCCAGCCTGGGGAAGGATAGCACAGTTACGGCCTTTAAGAATATTAGGGGGCAGGGAGGCGGTGGCACTCGCCTTTAACCCCAGCACTCGGGAGGCAGAGCCAGGCGGATCTCTGTGAGTTCGAGGCCAGGCTGGTCTACAGAACAAGATCCAGGACAGGCACCAAAACTACACAGAGAAACTCTGTCTCAAAAAAACAAACAAAAAAAAGAATATTTTATTTGGGGAAGGGGAAAGCATAATCAGAATATATTGTCTGAAAAAAAAAAACTTGTTTCAATTACAATAAAAAGAATGTTTTGCTTACCCGTAAATACAAGAGATGTCAATCACCACGTCTATCATATCGCAGCAGAGCTCGTAAGTCTGCATGTCCACTGGAGTACTGTCAGTTGCAATATAAATCTTACTGACCACATCAAACAGGAACGCCTTTTCAATTCCAGAATTCTGAGGGGGGAAAGACATGCTTTAAAGTAACAGCTACCTTGCTTTTGGATCTTGACCTTGATATCCTCCCTATGCTAATTCCCTGCCAGGTTCCACCCTCCTGAATACTTAAGGGAAGTTCCTTGTCTGTGTATCCTGAATAATGGGCGTTAACAGCTTAGATGCAAGATTGTAAAACATCAGTAGCAAAATTCTGCCCTCTGGGGTTCTCCCATTGTGCTGTAAGCCTGTATTTAAGACCTCCTCCCTCCTTCAATAAATGACATTTGGCATTTAAAATTAAAAAAAAAATATATATATAATTGAATGAATACTGCGAATGTAATCTATGAATACCACAAATGTGATTAATATCATGAGTGTAATTAATGAATATCATGAGTGTAATTTAAAAAAATAAAAAAATATATATTGTATGAAAATCTCAAAAATAAAAATAAACAGTGTATTAAAACAAAAAAAAAAGAAAGAAAGAAAGAAAGAAGCCAAGTTAAGGCTGGGCATTCATAATTAAGAAAAAAAAAAAGTAACAGCAAGTTCAGACCGATTCATGGTCACATAAAAAATGGTATTCCATTCCACTAGTCAGGGAAGGGACGGCGAGGGGAAGGAAGAGCAGCTTGGAGGGTGGGGTGGATGAAAGCACAACACAAGCCTCCTGAACTGTCCCAGTGAAGCCTTCTAATCTGTACAGTGAGCAGACAACAAGTTTATAAGAGAGTGATTTCCCTAAAGACTTAAAAAAAAATTATATGACATCCCCAATGCCGTATATAAGTAAGCTAAAACTATTAGGAACTCCTGTTGTACCATTTTATTGCAATTTAAACTTTACTTGTATAATCTTATGATGGATTTGAAAAAAAAAATGAAAGGCAGAATCAGCCTAAGTTATCCTTGGTGAACCACTTGGACAGTGTTGGCTAACTCTTGGCCTGGCCATTTGTAGGACTCACGGCTCATCACTCACAGAGCGTTAAATCTGTGGATTTTCAAATACAGATCTCATTGGGAGAACCAAAGCATTTTAAAGAAATTTTCTCTCACTTGTTTATGTATTTTTGTTCGGAGGTAGTTAGGACACACAACAGTACAGATGGTGTGGAGGTCAGAGGACCTTTGGGAAGGAACTGGCTCTCTCCTTGTTCCGTGTGGTCCGGACTGGACTCTGGTGGTGGGGCTTGGCAACAGGAGCCTTTGCTGTACCAACGTGCTGGCCCCCAAACCAAGATTTCCGCTTCATACCCAAGGTAAGGTTCCGTTAATACCGATGATTGCCTCACGCTTGAATAAGCAATTCAAGTACACCAGGGAAACATACATTTCCAGAGTTAAAAATCTAAAGGTTCGCCGGGCGGTGGTGGCGCACGCCTTTAATCCCAGCACTCGGGAGGCAGAGCCAGGCGGATCTCTGTGAGTTCGAGGCCAGCCTGGGCTACCAAGTGAGTCCCAGGAAAGGCGCAAAGCTACACAGAGAAACCCTGTCTCGAAAAACCAAAAAAAAAAAAAAAATATCTAAAGGTTCTAAAACAAAATGTAGAAGTAGTCTTCAAGAGTGAGTTCACAAGGCCAGCCAGGGCTACATAATGAGACCCTGTCTCAAAAAATAAGTAAGGTAGGAAAACAAAAGAGAAAGACATCACCAAATACACATGCGTACACACATTAAATACGAACTGAGGGATCGGGTGTTGGTGGCGCACATCTTTAATCCCAGCACTCAGGAGGCAGAGGCAGGCGGATCTCTGTGAGTTTGATGCCAGCCTGGTCTACAGAGCGACATCCAGGACAGCCAGAGATACACAGAGAAACAACAACAACAAAAAAGAGTGATAGAACAGTGGCCCTGAAATGCAGGCAGGTATTATAACTTCTTACTCTATTTTTTTTTTTTTAAGATTTATTTATTTATTATGTATACAGCATGTATGACTGCAGGCCAGAAGAGGACACCAGATCTCATTACAGGTGGTTGTGAGCCACCATGTGGTTGCTGGGAATTGAACTCAGGACCTCTGGAAGAGCAGCCAGTGCTCTTAACCTCTGAGCCATCTCTCCAGCCCCCACAACTTCTTACTCTTGCAGTGTGGCTCTAGAATTCTGCAAATGACTTGGGCAGGATCACACCATCTACTTACTGAGATAAAGATATTCAGCAGGTTCTCCAGCGTCGGGAGCTGGGGGATCAGTTTCTGGACCACTTTACTGAAGGCTTCAAATATAGAGTGGTCATAGATGCTTGTCAGATAGAAGCTGAAAGAGAAGGCAGAGTTTCATCAGGCTCCCTCTGACTCTGTCTGCCACTAACGGCAGTAATCTTATGTACAATTGTAACACACACACAAGCACTAGCCCCCCTCAGAATTCATAATGGCCTTGGTCAAAAACAAGTGTGTCCTAACAGGAAGCCTCTTTCCCTCCCTGGTGCCAGAGCCATGCCCCGTCTGCACTGACCGGCAAGCTTTGGAGTTTGGCTATCCTTATCCATGTGAGCATCCTTACATTCTACAAGAGACTCTGCACTCATCTCCACACAAGCCTATTGCCCAATCAGTAGCTTTTAAATTACTGATACTGAAGCACGCCATTTTCTTCGTCTTCCAATCTGCGAAGTCAATGATTATGCACTGTCCTACCCCACAAAATAAATGGGAGAAGTTTTCCTCTGAATTCCTATCCTAATGATTTTAAGCCTCACCTGTTTGAGGTTATAAGTACCATCCTATTAGCAGGAACGAGTATTTAGCACCAGTTAGCATGCTGGGTTAGAGTCACGGCTTTTGTTGTGTTTCTCATATGAGACGAGAAGCTTAGCTTTGACAATTTGTTGAATACAAAAGTAAAACAAAACACTATTTTCACCGAAGGTTAGCATTTAGCAAGTGCGAAACATCTTTCATCCTATCCCAGCACAAAACAGGTAAATAAGTAAATCCACACCATCCATGCTGCCCACACCCTGCCAGCCGTGGTGACAGAAAGCCAAGCACACTTGCTCCAGCCTTTCTTAGGACCCACACCCTAAGGGGTGTCGGCTCTTACCTCAGATGAATTTTTTCTAATCCAGCATCTGCAAGGTCATCGTTTGCCCTCTGGTGAATGTCTCTTTGGGTTTCAATTTTGTGATCATCTGACAGACCGTCCACTTTATGAATAAACACCTCGAAGTTGATGTCAGTATTCACTTTGTAGGCCCTGGTCACTGTGAGGTGGAGCCTGGCCAGTGCTTCCATATAGTCATCCTGGAACGAAGTTCATGCCTTCAGCTTTGTTTCAGAACATTCTATACACACTCATCACCTGGAAACACATAGCTACAATCTCCAAAAATATTTTGCCAAATTCCCAACACCCCTGAGGAAAACAATTCCATCATCACAGACTTCAAGTATACAAACCTGGGTTTGTTAACACAGAGATGAGAAGCTGAGAAAACGCAGCTGTTTGGGTGGTCACAGTGTAGGTTGTTGATAATCATAAAGACAGGAGCTGGAATTCCAGGAAAAGAAACTAGACCAACACCTAGGTCTTCCGTGAGATAGGACGCCTCCCAGCTTCCTAAGGCTCTCAAGGACTGTGATGGAGACTACAGATGGAGACACAGGCTAGGTAGGAGGATGGGAAGGAGTTTAATACTAATCCAGAGAACTCAACAAATCACCACCTGCAGCCCTCCTGCTGGCTTTTGTGACTGAGTCACATGAGAAGTCAGCTGAGCCATACCTGCCTGTCTCCATGATCTCCAGGACTGCTCAGTGCTACAATGCAGAGGTGTGGAGACTTCCCCCAAAGCACAGCTGTGGTTGCCTGAGGCTGGGCACTGAGGGCACAGAAGTGAAAAGGCCCCAGGGAACCCAGAGGGTGGAAAGATCCTATGTCTTCAATGTGGGCTGGTTACATGGGAGGTATATTTGTAACCTCTTAAAGTATGTCCTTGAAAGGAGTGCATTCAAACATGTTACCACTTACATCTTTAACTAAGGAGAAAGCCCATTTTAAGGGGCAGGACTGTGAGCAAAGTTACCCAATATTCAAAGAAAATATTAGAATATGCTAAACAACCCTGTCAAATGTATAAAACTAATTACACTAACAGACTTTATTTTGTTTTGTTTTTTTTGAGACAGGGTCTTTCTACATAGGCCTGGTTGTCCTGGAACTATGTAGACCAGGCTGGCCTCAAACTCATAAGAGATCTGCCTGCCTCTTTGCTTCCCAAGTGCTGGCATTAAAGGTGTGCCACCACACCCGGCTCACACTATCAGATGAAACAGTATACAGCCTTAATGTTTGAAAACGAGGCACTGGAGGGCCTGGAGAGAGGCTGGGCAGTGAGAGCATATACTGCTCTCACAGACGACTCAGGTTCAGTTCCCAGCATCCACATGGGGAGGCTCATCATACCTGTAACTTCAGAAGCAGGGGACCTACACCCTCTTCTGGCCTTCTTTGGGCACCTGCCCTCATGTGCGCGTGCGCGCGCGCGCACACACACACACACACACACACACACACACACACACACACACACACAGACATACGTATAATTAAAAATAAGTAAATCAATGAGGGCCTGGGAGGATAGTTTAGGTGGCAGTGTGCACCTTCCCTAAAAGACCCGAAAAACTAAAAATGACATGGAAAGGAAGGAAACGTGGGGTCCAGTGGGACAAGCCTGCAACCCTAGCTGTGCAGCCAGGCAAGGTAGGAGATCACAAGTGTGAGGCCAGCTTGGTCAGTTTAGTGAGCTCTTACCTCAAAACAAAAATTGTAAAGGCTCAAGAGTGTGGCCCTGTGGCCGAGCACTCGCTTAGCACACACAGACTCTGGGTTCACCACAAGTACCGTAATCACTAGAACAGAGGATTACAGATGCCCAACCATTATGTTCTTTTCTCTTTCGTGTGTGTGTGTGTGTGTGTGTGTGTGTGTGTGTGTGTGTGTGTGTGTGTGTGTATGCGTGCATGTGTGCACCCACCCTTGCTCTATCACTCTACCTGATTCTGTGACAAGGTCTCTCATCGAGTCTGGAACTACTCTGACAGTGAGCAAGCCCCAGCGACCTTCCTGTCTCTGCTCTGCCCTGCAGCGCTGGGCTTCCTAGCTTGTGTGGCACCTGGGGCTTTTTTGTACTGAAGCTGGGATTTGAACTAGATCCTCAGGTGCTCAGGCTTGTACAGCAAGCCCTCTTACTTGCTGAGCCATGGCTCCAGCACCCCCATTCTGTTTGCTCTTGCCGTCTATGACAACACTAAGGAAAAGACACTCTAGCTTCTCCTCTGCTGTTTGCTTTAGGAGTTGTACGGCAGGCCATCGTCGCTCCCGCTCCCACAGTGACCGGGAACGCCAGGTCCGCAGGAGTGGGAGGAACAGCTACAGGAGATGTGGTAGACTCTGAGTTCTCTGCAGAGCAGGCGTCAAGCATTTAGTTCATGGGAAATCACTTGGGCTTCCTTCTTCTTTCCTTCACAAGGTTCTGTGAAAACACCTTTTCTTTCTAGAAACTGTGACGGTGAGGTATTCTGGGGAAACAATATGTGGTTTCAGACCACACATGCCCTGCTTAGACATGAGAAAGGAGGGGGCGGGAGGCAGCAGGATGGCTCAGTGCATAAAGGCACACCACCTGCAAGCCTGATGGCCTGAGCTGGAGCTCTGGAACACGTGTAAAGGCAAAAGGAGGGAACTCTGCAAAGTTACACACACATCACACACACACAACTTAAAAAACAAACCTTAAATCAGGTATGGTGGCTCAAGCCTTTAATTCCAGCACTTGGGAGACAGAGGCAGGTCAATCTATGAGTTAGAGGCCAGCCTGGTCTACATAGTTGAGTTCCAGACCAGCCAGGGCTACACAGTGAGATGTTGTCTCAAAAAACAAACAAACAAACAAACAAACAAACAACGTAGCCAGTTGTGGCGGTGTACATCTTTAATCTCAGCACCTGGGAGGCAGAGGCAGGAGGATCTCTGTGAACCTGAGGCCAGCCTGGGCTACAGAGAGAGGTCCAGGCCACCCAGAGCTTAGTGAGATGTTGTCTCAAAAACAACTGTCAAAAAGAGAAAAAAGCTTGATAATGCTTATTTTCAACAGGAAGGGAGGGGCAGGAGGGACAGAGAGCAGCAAAGGACGGGTGCATGGGGGGGGGGGGGGGGCTCCTGGAAGTCAGGGTTTCCTCTCCCCATCCCAAGAACGTCGGGTAAGATCCCTGCAAACACTTTTTACACACTGCTGCCACCCGATGATTATTAGGTCTGGAAACCACTTAGTTAATCTATAATTTTTTGTGTGTGTTTTTTAATGTGTGTGAGACATGCTGGAAGGTATGTCTGTGCACCACGTGCATGAAGTGCCCTCAGTATCTAGAAGAGAACACTGGATTCCCTGGAACTGGAGTTGCAGAGGGTTGGGAGCCACTATGTGGGTGCAAAGAATCAAAGCTGGGTCTTCTGCCAGAGTAGCAAACGCTCTTAACTGCTGAGCCATCTCTCAAGCCCCTTATTTATTAATTTTAGTAAGAGCACTCAATGCTTTTTCCTTTGCGTGTGTGTGGCCGGAGGTCAAACTCAGGGTATTAGGTACAGCAGGCTAGTGCTCTGGGCAACACTCTCGACCCATCCACTCATTTTCACATTTATTTATCGGTTTGTTTGTTTGGGTGTATGTGTGTGCATACACATGGGTATAGAGGCCAGAGGGCAACTTGCAGGAGTCAATTCTCTCTTTCCACCATGTGGATCTTGGGGATCAAACTCATATAGTCAGACTTGACAGTGAGCATCTTTTTCCAGTGAGCCATTTCATCAGCCCCTCACCTAGTGATTTCAGTAAGTGTTACTTGAGTCTGGGCATGGTGATGCCATGACTTTAACCCCAGCAATTGGGAGGCAGGGGCAGGCAGATCTCTCTGAGTCTGAGGCCAGCCTGGGCTACAGAGTGAGTATCAGGACAGTCTGGGCTATGTAGAGAGACCTTGTGGGGGGGGGGGGGCGGTGATGAGGGGGGACAAGATGCTCATGCCTGTAATCCCAGCATTCCCTAAGGTAGGAAGGCTGCTGTGAATTCAAGTCCAGCTTGAGCAACAGTTAAGACGTTGTCTCAAAGAAAGAAAAGGTATGAAAAAAGGAAAAAGGGGGGGAAGGAGGAAGAGAGAAGAAGAGAGAGGAGGAGGGAAGATCTTTCTCAAACATTATTAGATTTTCCTGTGACCTGCAGTAAATTAACCCCCCCGCCACACACCCACACACACAACAAGAAACACAATTACCAACCTAACTGAAAAGCCTGCTTTATGTTTAAATAAAATTGCCTAGCTGAAAATAAGCAACTTTGGGCTGGAGAGATTGTGGTGGTCAAGAGCATTAGCTTGTCCAGCAGAGGACCAGAGTCCAGTTCCCAGGACCTAAGTGGGGCAGCTCACAACCACCTACAATGCTGCTTCCAGGAGAGCAGACACCTCTGGTCTCTGCAAGAACCTGCACTCATGTGCACGGACCCACACCCTGGGACACACGTACACACAAAGACCCACATACCAGGACACACATACACATGCAGACCCCCACACTGGGACATATGTACACATGCAGACCCACACACTGGGACACACACACACACAGGTACACACACAAACCCACACACCGGGACACACACATGTGCACATGAAGACCACACCCTGGGACACATGTACACATGCAGAACCATACACCGGGACACACACATGTACACTCGCAGACCCACACCCTGGGACACATGTATACATGCAGACCCATACACTGAGACATACACACATAGGTACACATGCAGACCCACACACCGGGACACACACAGGTGCACACACAGACCCACACACCAGGACATATGTACCCCTGATTAAAAATAAAATAAACAGCCGGGCGGTGGTGGCGCACGCCTTTAATCCCAGCACTCGGGAGGCAGAGCCAGGCGTATCTCTGTGAGTTCGAGGCCAGCCTGGGCTACCAAGTGAGTTCCAGGAAAGGCGCAAAGCTACACAGAGAAACCCTGTCTCGAAAAACCAAAAAATAAATAAATAAATAAATAAAATAAAATAAATAATGAAAAGTAAAAATGAGTAAATATACCTATTTGTGGCTAACTTACAGCCATATCATAAATGCCTTATTCGGATCTGCATTGGAGCTGCTATACAGCACAGTATGGTAACTGAGTATTTACCAAGCCATCATCCGAAATGATCTGTAGCTCTGGTTGGAATGCGCTTACTCATGGGCAGCCACTTAAACAGCTACAAAAACACATGGGCTGACTCCAGGGAAGAGAGTTCCCTGCCCTGTACTGTGCATGCACTCGCCACTCCCGGGCCCCAAGCACCTTGATTTACAGTGCTGGCAGACAGACAGGGAGACAGGTCAGAAAACAGGTCAGTACAAGTTGGAGTACCAGGAGAGCAGCTCCCGACAGCCCAGGCATGTGAAGGGTCTATGCACAAGCTGTGGGGGGGAGCTGATGAACCCACCATGGGTCTGGCATTGGATTTCAGTCTCTCCCTCTACAGACCTCCCGCTGAAGAAGAAGGAACCCCTGCATCTCAGAGCTGGTCACACAGTGCAGCCTCCTGGAACAAGGCTTTGCTAAAGTTGCTCCTGGAAGGCTGACCGGACGGGACGGCAGGGGCACTTTATGTCAGGGAACTCCCCGACCCTCACTCTAGGCTGGATTTGGCATTCCCTAGAGAACCGCTCCCTTTAGGCCTGGGAAAGCCTGAAGGCGGCACCACAGTCTCAGACACCCTCTAAGGCCCCAACCCCACACACCTTCCCCAGCACTGGCCAGCCTGGTCTCCCTTCCTCCTCTTCCCACTGAGCCCAGTGGCAAGGCCCCAGTTGGAGAGGATGGAGAGAATGGCCAATGGCTGGGGAACGGGGCTCCTCACCAGTCAAGGGCTCCCTACTCTTCGCTTACAACCAAGTTGAAGGAAGACTACACAGAACTGTTAATAAACTACTAAAAACAATTTTTATGACAGAAAATCAGATCATGTAGGAGACACAATTTAGAAGGATTTAAAATTCTTGTGCAAAATGTTATGACAAAACTCACTCTGTATTCCCAACTCATCCATATGAACACATTTCTCGGTACTCACAGCTATAGGAGCAAAGAACGAAAACAGAACTGCAGATTCAAACACAGATGTGAACTGTGGAAAAATCAATCAAATATCCGTCTTCCTACCAGATACCTACCTCACATTTTAACAGTCATCTACAAAATACATACAAGAGTTATAGTAATCAAGTATATACTGCTAAGAATAATTTGAATCAAGGGCTGGAGAGATGACTTAGTGGTTAGGAGCACTGGTTGCTCTTGCAGAGGACCCAGGTTCACTTCCCAGCACCCACACGGCAGCTCACAACTGTCTGTAACTCCAGTTCCAGGAGATCCCACACCCTCTTCAGGCCTCTGAAGGCACCAGGTATACAGGTAGTTCACAGACATACACACAGGTAAAACACCCATACAGATAAAATAATAAATTTAAGGGGCTAGAGAGATGGCTCAGAGGTTAAGAGCACTGGCTGTTCTTCCACAGGTCCTGAGTTCAATTCCCAGCACCCACATGGTGGCTCACAACCATCTATGAGATCTGGTGTCCTCTTCTGGCCTGCAGACATACATGCAGGCAGAACACTGTACACATAATAAACAAATAAATCTTTAAAAATAATAATAATTTAAAATAATACTTTGATTCAGAAGAAAATTTTCACTTAGAATTCTGTCTACTTTGAAAATAAATACTGTAATATGTAGCCTTCTAAGTAAACGTTTACTGCAGAGAACCTGTCATCATCCCACACGTCTTCTGGGATCTGCCCTTCATCTATGAGGTTTCCCAGGTGTCTTAGTTTCTATTGCTGTGAAGAGACACCATGACCACGGCAACTCTTATAAAGGAAATCATTTAAATGGGGCTGGCTTACAGTTTAGAGGTTCAGTCCATTATCATCGTGGTGGGATATGGAGACGTGCAGGCAGACATGGTGCTGGAGAAGGAGCTGTGAGTTTTACATCTTGATATGCAGGCCAATGGGAAGTAGTCTGAGATACTGGGTGTGGCTTGAGCATATGACACCTCAAAGCCTGCCTCTACAGTGACACATTTCCTCCAACAAGGCCACACCTCCCAATAGTGCCATTCCCTATGAGCTTATGGGGGGCCAGTCACATCCAAACTACCACACCAGGTTATGATCTTATGGGTTAAGGGAGTTTGCGCTATGACAGGACAGGGAACCTTTTCTGCTGCAGAATCTGAAGGCTCTGAGAAATCCTTGTCTGACAGAAGGACCTATTGCGGATTTGAAAACCTAAACCACTGGGCCCAGTATGACTCAGCTGGTAAAGGTGCTTGGCTCAGACCTAACAACCTAAACTTGATCCTCTGACCCCACAAGGTGTGGGAGAGAAGACTCTGAAGAGATGCCCTCCGATCTCTCTTACACACACACACACACACACACACACACACACACACACACACACGAGCTATGGTGAATGAAAGCTTGCACACACATTTGTATGTGCATCGCATCACACACACACACACACACACACACACACTTTTACAAGAACAAAAACCACTGCAAATGGCTATGGGGAGGTAGGCAGGTGCTGCCTGTGGTGAGGCTCTGTGTACCTGGGAGTCGATGACAAAGATCAACGCTCCTGTTCCCCGGAAGATCATCTCATAGTCGAAGGTCGGGTCAAAAAAGTCAATCTGCCCCGGGAAGTCCCAGATCTGGAAGTTGACAAAGGAGCTGTTGGACACGTCCTCCCTACAGATCTTGTTGGTGCTCTCCAGGAACAGGGTCTCGCTCGGGGACATCTTGTGAAAGACAACTTTCTGTATGGATGACTTGCCGCTCCTTCTGAGACCCATGAGCAGGATTCTGGGCTTCACCTCCGTGCTGAAGGGGTCACTGAAGTCCAGAACTGGAGAAACCACAGAAAAGGATGGGGTGAGTCCTTCACAGCAGCTAACGGGGAGTTCTGCCTCCACCTCAGATGGTCTGTCACTCAGATACTGCTTTTCCAGTGTCACCTCTACCATTAGTGAGGGGGACAACGTGGGGACATAAGAACCCTGAAAACTGCCCCAGCTTCCTCACACATCCCTGAAGGGCAGAGTCCCAGTGTATGGCTCAGCATCCCAAGCAGGGACGCTGGAATAAAAAAAGCAAAGGCTTCCTAGGGCTCACTGCCTAAAAAAGAACTCAGGTCTCTAGCCACACCCTCCTCTACATGGCCGTCAGAGTCTCTAGGTTCTTGGTAACCCTCTCCTGGCTGGAACCCTTGTGGGTCTCCCAGCCTAGAACATAGGCACAGGCCAGGGACCTCCGACTCGGACTTGAGAGAGCACAGGAGACTCAGACCTCTCTCCAGGACTGTCCACGTCGGCTTCCGTCATCTGGTAAGATAACCACGGACAGCTATTAACGTTTAAACCAAATGAGGCTGGAGAGAGGGCTCTGTGGCCGCTCCTACAGAACTGGAGTTTGGTCCCAGCACTCCAGTCAGGCGGCTCACTGCGCCAGCTCCAGGGGATCCAACCTTCTCCTCCAGACTCTGTGGGAACCACATTCTTGTGCATGAACCCTCACTCAGACACACATATGTATGCCTAATTTAAAAAATAAAAACAAAATCTTCCTTCAAAAAGAGAATCAGCTTTAAAAATCTGTAATCAATGACAATAATAAACACGTCTCAGGTCTGTTATAATCGTTAAATGAAATCAAGGACCTAAATTAATTAAGACTCAAGCAGGCGTGGTGGTACACGCCTATAATTCCAACACCTGGGAGGCCAAGTCAGGAGGATCACGAGGTCTAGGCTAGTCTGAGCTACAAGGCATGAAGACTCAATCAGCCAAGGATCTGGGCCAACTGGTCATCTATACGCAAAGACCCTTACCTGAGACTGAACACAGGTTAATTCAAAATGGACCAAACACCTCAACCTAGGAGCTAAAACTAAGCTCTTAGGGAGAAACGTAGACAGACATCTTAGAGACCTTAGATTAGGCACCTTTGATCTCAGCACTCAGGAGGCAGAGACAGGCAGGTTTACGTGAGCTCAAGGCCAGCCAGAATTACATAGTGAGTCCTCTGTCTGTCTGTCTGTCTGTCTGTCTCTCCTTTTCAGCTTCTCCAATTGCTGAATTGGTAACAAACACCAAATACTTGAATGTTTACCTATGGACTTGAAGACTTTGTTTTTCGTTTTTTTGAGCAGAGTCTCACTATGTAGCCCCTGGAACTCACTATGCAGACCCAGTTGGCCTCAAACTCACAGATACTATGTACAGGATTCGAAGCACATCTCTGTTTAAGAATTATTTAATTACATTTCTTCATGGTGGGGAGGGGGGCATGGCGTGCATGTGGAGGTCGGAGGACAACCTGAGCCAGTTCTCTCCTCCTTCCATGTGGGCCCAGGAGGCAAATTCCACCTTAAGCATCAGCTCACCCCCTCCACACACCTTGCTCTCACCATGCCCCTCCCCCACACCATGGCTGCACAGTCGTTGTCGACCACGTGCCCGTCCCCCGTCCGTCCCCCCCCACCACCCCCGTTCAACAACCAGCTTCCATACATGATACAAGTTGTAATCTAGGGGAGGAAATACATCTAAAAGGCATTAGCTTCCTTCCTCATTCCTGCATGCTCTCACAGGACTGCCATGACAAGTCTGCCTCAGGAAATCAGAGCAAACAGGACTTAGGTCACATGTTAGTGCCTTCCCAAACTGAATTCCTAAAACCAGAAGAAGAGTATACATTCTAGACAGTAGCCAAACCCAAACCCAGAACTCAGTTATGAGAAGCCCCTAAGCAATACAAGCACAGATGGGAGAGGAGCCCGCAGGCCTGGGAAACCGGGGTGTAGTCGTTCTTACTGCAGCTCATGGGAACTAAAACCGTCGGAGGCAGAACCTGCCATCTCTCTTCCAGACATTCCCTCAAATGGCAAACATGTGAGAAATGTTCCGATTGAGATGCTGACTGCAGAAGAGCATGCAGGCTCGATGGATGGGAGCAGCAAGCTCACGACAGAATCAGAGCAGAGCCCCCAGTTACAAAGGTGGAATCTAAAGGAAAGAACGATCATCATCTCAGAGCATGCGCAATCCAGGGAAAGGGACATGGAGGTTCTGGAAATAAACATACTGTGGGGACAAGGCAGACAGGATGAAAGGTGGACTCAACCCAGACAAGGAGGGGAAGGAAGAACTGGTAAAGAGGGAGAAAGCGCCGCCTTTAATCCCAGCACTTGGAGGCAGAGGCAGGCAAATCTCCGAGTTTGAGGCCAGCCTGGTCTACAGAGCAAGTTTCAGAGCCAGAGCTACACAGAGAAACCCTGTCTCGAAAAACCAAAGGAGAGAGAGAGAGAGAGAGAGAGAGAGAGAGAGAGAGAGAGAGAGAGAGAGAGAGGAATGTGTAAAATAAACATTAGTGGCATCAGGAGTAAGACTCAGAAGTCCTGCTATCTACCAAAGAAGTCCCCAAAAGGGCAGAGCACAGCCACCTGTGCCTACAAGCCCAGTGCTCAGGAGGGACCAGTTTAAGGCCATTTTGGACAATATGAGGCCCTGCCTCAGAGAAACAAAAAGCAGCAGGGGTTGGGCTTGCTGTTCAGTGGTAGCGCACCTGCCTTGCATAGAGAGCCCCCACCTCCGTTCAACCCCCAGCAAAGCAAGACAGCAGAGCAGGACTAGTCCTTCCAGCAATGAAGACAGCAGAGCAGGACTAGTCCCCCAGCAAAGCAAGACAGCAGAGCAGGACTAGTCCTTCCAGCAAAGCAAGACAGCAGAGCAGGAGTAGTCCCCCAGCAATGAAGACAGCAGAGCAGGAGTAGTCCCCCAGCAATGAAGACAGCAGAGCAGGACTAGTCCCCCAGCAATGAAGACAGCAGAGCAGGAGTAGTCCCCCAGCAATGAAGACAGCAGAGCAGGACTAGTCCCCCAGCAATGAAGACAGCAGAGCAGGACTAGTCCCCCAGCAATGAAGACAGCAGAGCAGAGTAGTCAGCAGGACTGAACAGTGCAATGAGCCCTCCCCAAGTGCAGAGAAAGACAAAGTAAATAGATCCACTAAATAGAAATGTAAAACACTGAGAACAACAAAACCCTTAAAACCATCAGGAGGGGCTGGAGGGGTGCCTCAGTGGTTAAGAGCACTGACTGCTCTTGAAGAAGACACAGGTTCAATTCCCAGCACCCACATGGCTCATTACTGTCTGTAACTCCAGTTTCCAGGGCAACTGACATCATCTTTAGGCTTCTGTGGGCACCAGGTACACATATAATACACAGATATCCATGCAGATAAACCACTAATGCACATCAAAAAAATTAAATCTTAAGAAAAATGAAAGCATATGTCCATCCAAAACTTGTACAATGGGCTAGAGAGATGGCTTGGCAGTTAAGAGTGCATACTGTTCTTACAGAGGATCCAAGTTAAGTTTATACCACCGGTAACTGCAGCTCCAAGGGGATGCAGTGCCTCTGACCTCTACAAGCACCCGAGTGTGTGTGAGTGTGTGAGTGTGTGTGTGTGTGTGTGTGTGTGTGTGTGTGTGTGTGTGCACGCACACTCTCTTAAAAAAACTTGCACAAAAAAGCACATCTGGGCCGGGTGTTGGTGGTGCACGCCTTTAGTCCCAGCACTCAGGAGGCAGATGCAGGAAGATCTCTGCGAGTTTGAGGCCAAACTTGTCTACATAGAGAGTTCCAGGACAGCCAGGGCTATGCAGAGAAGCCCTGTCTTGAAAAAAAAAAACAAAACAAAACAACCTCATCCCTACTATCCCTACTTTATCCATAATACTCAAAAACTGAGAACAATTCAAATGTCTACCAACAGGTAAATGGATAAGCAAATCATAGCATATCCTAGCAATACAAAGAATTAAGCAGCGACCGGTGCTTGCTAGTATGCACAAAGTTCCAAGCTGGATTGTCGGCACAGGAAGGGAGGCAAGGAGGAAGTCGTTGGTGCTCACTGATGAACTGCAGAAAAGGATTCAGTTCTATTTTTTCCTGACATTCTGAAACAATATAAACTAACATACAATGGCACACAAGACCTCGGTGGCTGCCTGGGGTCAGGAGCAGGGGTGGAAGAGACCCCAAGGGGATAGGGCGACTTTGCAGTGGACATGGTGGATGGATATTTCCTTTACACTGTGGTGCTTTCAAAACCATATCAAATGTGTACTTATTTTTGCAAATTGTACTTTAATACAAGCTATTTTAAAAACGAAATCCCAAGGAAAAGAAATTGAATGAGCTCTGGTTGCTCTTATTTCTACCTCCCAAACAACAAGTGTTAGATGGCAGCAATGCCCCGGGGCCAGCCTAGGGAGCAGAAGTGCTGGGGATCAAACTCAGGTCATCAGGCCTGGCAGCAAACACCTTTATTTGTCCACTGGCCTCATCTACTGACCATTCTCTTCCTGAATACAACTTTGTTCAATAAACAAACAAACGAAAAGTCACCAGAATTACATACAGTGCCCACACGTTGTCTTTCCAACCAGGTAATGTTGCTAGATGTGGGTGTAGTCTTCAGCTGAGTCTGTAAATCCAGGCTGGAGTGTCTCCTCTCAGGGGGCTGGGGGGTGGCAAAAGAGCCTTGGTGAAGAGGGAGGTGTGCGGGTTTAGAAGGATCAGGTGAAGTCAGTTAAGTAAAACAAGAGGTGCAGCTGCTACTGCACATGGAGCTGGATGTGTTTTCCTGCCTGCCGAGGTCCAGCACACGCTAACTCCGGTGGGGAATGGCAGCCAGGTCAGCAAGATGCCATCAGCAAGGACCAGGGGTCCCTGGAGGCCTGTGATGCAGTTCTTCACTTCAGTTAGGTGTCTAACCACTGCTTTGCCGCTTCTGCGAACCCTCCCCAGCTGCTGACAAGTACCCAAGGGGTCTACC